ACATTGTGGAGCAGGATGCAACAAAAGTCCTTGCCTCTGCTCTTTCTTGCTATGCTCTTTCTGGCTATTGAAGGAGTGATGATGAAGGTTCAAATCAGGAAGCTATGGGTCCAGAAAGCAGTGAAGTACTGGGAAGAGAGAGGCGCAAGAATGAAGGTGAACCTAAAGATCAAGGCTGTTTAATATCACCCACCTTGAGGACAAGGTGGTTGTCCAACGGGGGAGATATGTTAGGATAATGGGCTTACGAGAATAATAATAATTAAGTGTGATAGTGTAATAGAGGGTCCTGGGCATGGTAGTAGTTGGCCTTGACTAGCCCATTAGAAATAGAATAAATAAGGGTGAGTGGTGAGTAGATGGGGGGCAGAACTTGGGATCAGGACTGGGATATTGGGAGTGAGAGACCACTCGAAGAGTCTCAAACCTTTCCTTTCATGACTTTCTGTATTCCTTCACTAAATGTTCATTAATAAACTACTACTTTCTTCTTGGATTCTTCAGTTACTTATCAGTTAACCTAACATGAAATGGATAACAAAATTATTTTTTATCTATTATGCTAAAAGAGGGAGTTCATAATGAGAACTTAGTTACTAACCATTCTGGTTTTAGAATCAACGCTATCTGGTAAACGTAGCCATGCTGAGTAGACCAGGGACTCATAAACAGTAACAAAAGGAGAGTGGATGTCATTCTGCTCACAATACCCTGAGATACGGGAAAATGTTTCTTGTTTCTTTTTATAACCAGAAATTTTCATGTCACCTTCTATATATCCACCAGTTTTTCTTCCTGCCAACACATCCATCAAGGTTGTTTTTCCAGCCCCACTAACACCCATCAAAGCTGTAAGAACACCAGGCCTAAAGGCTCCACTTACACCCTTCAACAATACCAATTTATCCTCAGAAGTACCCTGCTCTTTCATTTCCTGGATTTCATTTTAAAAACAATTACCTTTGCACAATCTTGTATGAGAAAGAAAAAGTATGACTTCAAAAAACATATCTATTTTTTAATACCTGTGGCATGTCAACAGAGTATACAACATTGTCAAACGTCAACGAATATGGTTCAAATGGAAGGACCATTCCCCTTTTCTTAGTCTCAGTAACTCCATTAGCAGTGGTTTGGTCCAAAGAGTTTGATGAGTTTAGAGTACTCATCTCTCCACTTTCATCAGCTTCGGCTACATTGGCTTGAGGTTTACCATATGCTGCAAATATTATTGTTTATTCGCATTTGAAAATTAAAGAACAGTACTTTTAAGAAAAATGACTTGTATGAATTGGGTACCCACGATTAAGATACTGGAGCCCTAACATGTAACATATGTTGAAAATGATTGTGTATCCAACAAGTGCTCCCAGACCAATCCAATACCATTTTGCTTCAGCGAAAAATCCTCTGGATTCCATGACAACATCTCCAAGTATTCCTGTGCTAGACGTTGCATTCTGTAGAAATGAAAAGTTACTTAATATCTTGTATACAATAAAATTATTGTAATTAAGTGTTCTTATCAGATGTTTACTAGATCTATATCTAATCAAGTACTCCCTCCGTTCCCAAAAATACTTCTCACTTTCCTTTTTGGGCTGTTCCAAAAAATACTTCCCACTTTCCCATTTTGGACAATTTGTGTGACTCACATTCATTTTACCTTTTTCTTACACAACCACAACCATACATTTCCACTTTATTCCACTTTCTTAATAAGCGTGCCAAGTCAAACTGGGAAGAATTTTTAGGAACGGAGGGAGTATATGAGTAGGTGAATCTCACTTTTTAAGAATCTTTTGGGCTGATTTAGACCCGATTTATTATGATATCAGAGTTAATTAAGCTCTAACTAGCAATTAAACTAATTTAGGTGTAAACACCGGCTAAATATGATGATGTAAACTCACATAGAAGCTATTATTAAATACTCTTAATTTTCCTTTTAGGATTTAATCTTTTAGCTAACTCAACACAAAGTCTTATTAGTCCATCACTCACTACTTTATTTTGTGATGCTACTCTAAGAAGTTGTATTGTCATGAGGTGCATGAATACAAGATCACTTACTTTTCTCCAGCTGTGCCCCTTAAATTCATTCACAAGGATTGCATTCTGAGAATACATTAATGGGGAAGACCAGTACATCCAAATCCACCACTTCTTCACATCCTCTAGAACAACGAAACATAAGAACTTGTCAGTATACTTAATTAGAATATGATTGACAAATATATCATGGAAGTACTCTATGTCTGAAACATATGGATATGTACCTCGTGCAAGGATAAAACCTCCTAGAGCAACTTGGAGAAGAACTGCAAAGGATCCAAATGTCATTGCAACTCCCATAGTTCTAGCAACGGATGAAATAAATCGGAACAATGCTGAAGCCATCTGGTTTACCATCACTAGTAGCAAGAATTGTTTGAACAATCTGTAGCAAAATATCAACAAAAATTATTTCCATTGTTGTAATGTGTGATACATGTGCTTACCAAATATGTGTCTTATATATACATTAATTCTCATATGTTGATGAGTCTTTTTGGGTGAGTTAGACTCAATTTAAAATAGTATGAAGTGTGATTTGTTTGGCTCATTTGTCCACCTTTCAAGTTATAACAGATCATTAGTATCTCTTGAGCCTCGTTTGGGGTGAGGTAGACTCAACTTAATGCCTCGAACAAGACTAAGTTATGAAAGTTATACCTGCCGACTTTAGGATCAAATCCAATGACATAATAAGTGAGAAACACCCAGACACTGACTTCTATAAACGTAATGGGAACTTTAAGAATCCAGGAAGGAAGAGCATATGCCCAGGGAGGAAAAAATAGGAGGTCCCTCTGCTTGTAGAACACAGGTAACTTGAAAATTGTCATGGGAGTCTCAGACATGCCATTAAACATAATCATAATCACACCAAAGAATAGGGCACCACTATATATCCCTCCATCAGTCTCATTGTCTTTGCTCATCTTAGTACGGAAAAACATGGTCATTGTAATCAAAGCCATCACCATCAGCTGGGTTGAATCAAAAAAGACATGAAGGATCTATATGGGAATAAATGTCAATGGATATGTGGCTTAAAAGGATTAAAAGGATCAATGTACATACCTGGAAGAATTTGAAGTTGTAAGCGAATGAATTTCTCTTCATGAGCAAAAACTCTCTCTGTGTGCATACTTTTAGGAGTTGTCGCTTTCCTATGCCATACATTTGAGTCGTCAAGGCGGCCGGATGGCTTTTGCTCTTGTCAAATGGGACTGACAGTTCCTCTGCCACTTCCCTTCCAACATTGAAGGATTGATATGCCTCTGCAAATTCCTTTGATGTAATGAACCTGTAAGGTTCATCTCTGAGCATCCAATATTGGTGTTGATCCTTTTTTGATGTGACCTACAGATGATCAAATTCACATTTTATATAAAAAAAAAACTTTTTTGTATAGATGAAGTATAACACTTGTTAATTAATACCATCAGTATACGGCTCAAAAACAGTAGAACGGTTCAACCCAATACCATTATGGAAAAATTGCATAAAAGTGCCTTAGTACAAAAAAAATAGGAAAAATTTGACTTTGCAACCCATGTTTTGGGTGATATTTGACTTTGCACACCATTTTCAAAATCATTAATGTATGTATCCCAATTCCCTATAAAATCATTTGATTTTGCACCCCACTCCTTCATAATTTGATTTTAAAAATGGAATGCAAAGTCAAATATTACCCAAAACATGGGGTACAAATTCAAATTCTCCCTAAAAAATACTATCTCCTTCCAAAAACAATCTCTCACTCTCCTTATTTGGATGTCCAAAATAAATATCTCATAAACATCTCATTTCCATAAAAAGAAAACTTTCAACAACAAATGTCACAACTGGCCCTTATCTTTTATTTGATTTCACATAAAAATAGTAGTAATTAAAAATACAAAAGACAACTTTATCTTGTGTAAATATATGTGTAGATTAAACTGGAAAGTTTCAAGGATAGAGGAGTATAATTCTTTAAATAAGACCTTAAGTGTTTTTTCCTATAAAATATGGATCATTTACCTCAAAAAATCAATGTAAATAATTAAATACTACATCTGTCCCTTAAAAATCTTTGTCATCTCGTAAAATTTGGACCATGATTTTGAATTTTGATTAGTATAACATCATAGAAGTTATAAATTTTATACTTTAATGAAACTACTTTAAGCAACAAACATTATTGTATCATTTTTATATTATAAATAATTTTAATAAATAATTTTTGTATCATTTTTATATGCTTTTAATCAATGCAAATATAGTACGTAGTATATTTGATTTTATATCTCTGCAATTTTTGTTTTGTTTTTCATCCCCGAAATGTATGTTAATTTTCTTTTATATCATAAATTATGATAACAACCTCCGTTTGACAAAGAAATAACCTTGACTAATAGGATTCCTTTAATTCTTTGTCATGTTATTATAGAAGTATTTAATTTTATTTTTTAGAAGATTTTTAGTACATATTATAACAATGCTAATCATTAGTTTTAAATTGTTAGAACTCTCATGTTAGTCTCAAAAAACTATAGAAGGATAAATTTAAATATTTGTATTAGATTTATGTAACTGAAAATGACTTTTTGTCCAACTAGAGTGATTACGGCGTTAGAGATAAACTACATACAAAATAGTACATATTACAAAAAAAAATTGTAGGGACCTAAACCAAAGCGTATCATATTTGTAGAGATTACAAACATTTTTAAGCCTTAATAAAATTATATAATTGGTCAAAGTTTGAAAGATGTCAAAATATTAATGAACTAAAAACACTGCACAAAAGTATACATAAAAGAGGAAGTGTTTTTCAACCATTTATTTAATTGACCCCGATCATTTTTTTAATGCATTTTTTTTAATGCATTTACTTTATGAATATTACTCCATAAAGTAATCTCAATCTTTTTGACACAAAGTTTAAGCAAATTGGATGATTTAAAATAGTTCAATAATAGTCTATGTTGATTTAAAGATATGTGGAATTAGAATTCACTCACCTCTTGCAAGAAATCAGCAACGCCTTTCCTGTCAGGGCACTGGAACCCCATGGATTCAAAGAAATCGATCACAGTTTCCCGAGGGCCGTTGTAAACAACGTAGCCATCGGACAACAGGATGATATCGTCGAACAGGTTATAGGTCTCAGGGGCCGGCTGGAGCAGCGAAATGACGGTGGTGCCCTTGAGAATGTGGACGTATTGCTTGAGCGAGTTCACGATGGAATAGGTTGTGGAGCTGTCCAGTCCGGTGGATATTTCGTCCATGAAGAGAGCCTTTGCTGGCCCGACGATCATTTCGCCGGTCGTCACTCGCTTCTTCTGTCCGCCGGATATCCCTCTCAGCATTTCGTCTCCCACCATCGTATCTGCACATATGTCCAGTCCCAGAATCTGCCAGCCATCGCAAACAGATAAAATCAAACTACATTAGTCTCTTTATTTTCTATCAGTTTCCCTCATCGATCTGCACAAATTATTAATAGCTTTTATTTCTGTTCTCTTGTTCATCCATCCAAATGCTTACCTTGAGAATGTAATCGGTGACAACATTGGCTTCTTGCCCTTCTGTTGCTGCTGCCTGCAATTTAATCGATCAGAAGCTAGAATAGAAAGAGCAAAGCTAATCGATTGGAAAAGTTCTCTATTAAAATTATATGGCAGTATTAGTGCTGGCAATATGTTTATAGTACTTATTCCTATTGTGTTGTGTTATACATTGGGTTGATTTAGCATTACTATAATATTGAATATCTATACACAGAGGTCTGTTCCCTCGAGTAGGTGTAGCTTTGTGTCTACCTAGGGTTCAGGTTTTAGTGAAGGAGTTGTCTCCGATTGTTGTTATGATCGGCGAGAAGACTGGTCATATTGGAGTCTGGCCGTCTGGGTGTGGTATTACTCCTCTGGGAAGTTTGTCCCAAAACTTTTTCGATCAAAGTTTTGAGGTTAGTTTTCATCGTGCTGGAGTTTCATTGCCTGTTTTTCATCGTCTTGAATCATTCATGACTCATGATCTCTGTGGCATTGGTTTTCCACTGGCTTGCAATCATATTATTATGTTTTGAGTTTTCAGTTGATTGCTTTGTAGTCTCCATGGCTTTATGGTCTAAGGCATGTGGGAAGTTCTCAAATGAGGACTACAGTGGAAGGAGATGGCTAGGAAGAGATCTTAGGATTGCTAGTGAGCAAAAACAGAGCCACGGAGGTGCTTAGTGATGGATGAGGAGCGGTTGAAATGTCGTATACGACCGTTTAGAGTGTGATAATGTGAAGTAAAAAACAAGGTGGAAGCGGGCGTGGTGAGCAAGGCCAGACTGGATTTCTAGCCGGTGGTTTAACCGTCTAAATTAATTAGCACATGTTCGTGATACTTATTGGATGAGTTAGGCTTTTCTGACAGAAGGCTCTAGTTATATTGTGATACTGTGACATGCGTGGCTGTTGGGGTTTGATCAAAGGCTTTTCTAATAAAACTTGATATTGGCCAGTTAGTAGTTACATAGACTGAATGTGCGGTTTCAGGCAAACCAGTGCGGAGCTTTTAGTGGTTGGCTAGTGTTGACCCATTGTTACATTGTTTTTGTTTGTTTTGCTTGTGTTTTTTGTGGATAGCAGTACTCTTGATCTGTATGTTTTGTGGAGGTTTCATACAATTAGAAGCATGAGGACTGCTAAAGTTAAAGCAAGCTTGTGTGTTAGGTGGTCAGCTACTCGAGTTGCTCATTCGGGCGATTGTATGTCGATGCCTAATCGTAGGATGTTTGTTTGATGAGATTATGGGATACTTGTTTTGTAATCATATATTCATATTAATAGAAGGCTTTTTCATTGAAATGAAATTAAAAGTAGCAAATACTTTTAGTAAAAAGTATAAATTCTTGCCTTCATGAAGACATCCAAATCAGGATCTGGCTTGATGTTAGCAGCCTTTTCTCTCCTAGACAACTCTGCTAACATTTCTGGAGATGGATAGATTAAGAAAATGTTATATTTTCAAAATGCATTAATGTATGATAAGTGATTAACTAACAAAACCCCATCAGTTTGAGGCAGGCGGGGAAGATAGACGAACCATAACGGGAACCAACACCCTGACACCTGGCAGAGAATTCCAATGTTTCTCTAACGGTCATTTCGCCGATATGGAGATCATGTTGGCTAATATAAGAAGCTGTTCTCTGTGGCACGAACTCGTTTAGATCATGGCCATTGTACGTCACCTTCCCGCTCACCCGCAGGTCTTTATCGAGCTTTCCAGCCATTGCCAGCAGCAGCGTTGTCTTTCCGGAGCCCGGCGGCCCCAGCAGCAACGTCATCCTGGTTGTGACATTAAAAGATTCTTAATTAATAAGCCCAATTCAGGTAGTTAGTTTAATAACAGTGGGCTGGCCTGGTTTGTGCAGTCCAACTAACCTGCTGGGCTTCACGATCCCACTGACGTCATTGAGAATAGTGAATTTCCTCTTTTTGGTTTTGATTATGTGAACTGCGTTCAGCAAATCCTTTTACACAGTCAAGGAGAAAAAAACACATACTTAGTTTTAATTACAACAACAGTGATCAGCAGATAAAGGTATTGTTAAAAGTATTTGTCCCACACAGGAAAGTTATAAAACAATAAAACATTATATAAAACTTTGTATTACTCCTCCTATCAAGTTGACTTTTTAGGATGAAACCCCGGGTCTTAACATGGTATCCGAGTCAAGTCCGGTTGTGGTTTGACTGTTTGTTTAGCACTCATGATTAAGGGTATCTTGTTAAGGGTCTGTTTGACACATTTATACATCTCGATATTGTCCAGTCACCTTTTAGGATGAAACCCCGGGTCTTAACAAGTATATACATATATAGATATATATTTAAATTTTAATCCATACATGCATGCATATAATTATATAAAGGATTATAAATGTAAGATGTCCTAACAAATTAAAAGTTATACCACTCTTTTATACGAATTAATTCCACTTTTGGTCCTACGAGTTTTGTGTCATTTCCACCTTTAGTCCACGTCTTTCACTTTGTCCACTTTTGATACTTGACTAATGTTTTTTAACCATTTGTGGTCCTTTTCCGACGACTTTAACCATCGGAAACAATGCCGGAAGGACCATGTGTGGGCGAAAACACAATAGTCATGTATCAAAAGTGCACAAAGTGAAAGATGTGGACTAAATATGGAATTGACCTAAAACTCGTAGGACCAAAAGTGGAATTTATTCCTTTTATACGCACTAGTACTTTCTAGTATTGATTTGATGGATAGTCTACCCGGGGGTATATATCCGAAGGGTTATTACGGGGAATAACTTAGAGAGAAGTCAGAGCAAACAAGTAAGAGAGAGAGAGTGTATTGTAAATGTGGAGCGTTTTCAGCGTGGCTACAAATGGGGAAATGGGGGGCTATTTATAGTGGCAATAAATGCCGGGCAGGGACACGTGTCAAGCGCTCATTGGCCGAGGGGTCGCCTCAACTGGTTGGCGCTGGCAGCCGCATGTGGCCGCATTTAATGCGGCTGTTGGATGGGACGTCTGTGCAGAGTACGGTGATCTGTACGTATGTGAGGCAGATATCTTGTCGAGTGAGATGCCTTCGGCCATAGAGCAGTAGCCGAAGGCTCCTTCAACTGAGGGCACCTTGGTGCCGAGGGCTCACAGTACCGAGGGCTACTGTTTTCGCCGTTTTCCCCCAGTTTCTTAGTTTGCTTGAAAAACCTGTTCTGTGAGAATTTAGAGCCTTCGGCCGGGGGCCGAAGGCACCCCTGGCGCGTAGTGCGGGCTGCTTGGTATTCTGGGCGCTGTGATTTGGGCCTGTTGGACCTTTTGGGCCCGTTGGGCCTTTTGCTGGAGTAGTAGGAGTCTGTGGGCCGGGGGTTCTCGGGCCATATACTCCATCAGGAGTCCCTCACTCCTTTTGCCGAAAGGTACTTGAGGGAAAAGGAGTAATTTGTGCTTGCCCTTTGATGTTGTCCCGTTGTGATCTCTGAGGTTGGTGAGAAGTTGTTGCTTTTATGTCCCTGCCGAAGGCAGTCCCTCAGTTATCCACATGTCGGGACTTGAGGGCTTGCTTTGTTGTTTTTTGGAATTTGGAGCGTTTTGTAATTTAATGATTTTCCCGAAGGGGTCCTCCAGTCCCCCACTCCTTGAGGCACTTGTAAAGTGGTGGAAAGGAGTAAAGTAGTTACGTAGCCGTTGTGGGCCGAAGGCTGACACTTTTCGTTTCATTTCGGGGGGATGCCTCGTTAAAAACCTCATTAGGAAAAACCCTTTGGGAAAAAATCCTAATGAGGGAAAAAGAGTGCACCGAATTCCCCCAATGATGAATCGAAAATGTCAAACCTTGGTACAAAGTGGGGAATGACGGGAATGCTGAAGGCTCTCTCCTCTGAGGGCTCCTGTGTTGATTAGCCGAAGGCTTGCTGTTGCTGTCCTGGTGGTGCCGAAGGGGAGCCCCTCAATCCAGGGATCGAGGGCCTGCCAGATGAGGGCAGCAGTGAAGTTGTTACCGGGGGGGTCCACTGTCTGTTGATGAGTTGGTGATGAAGATACCCGAGGGCTCCCATTACCTGTGTGCCATGGACCATCCGTCAATGGGGCACTCCCCGGGGGCTACCCGGTTTTGCAGTGCTGAGGGGGAAACCCCGAGGGGTGCCCTGATATGCAGCCCTAGGGATCTGAAGGGGTGATCCCGAAGGCGTGTGTAATGTACTGTGTGGGGCACAACCCGGGGGCACTGCTGGGTGAGTGCACCCGGAGGCTATCTTTGATGAAGTGGAGTGAAGTAGAAAACCCGGGGGCTTCCAAAATATAGTCGTTGGAAATATAGCCGTTGGAATATGTAACGACGGGATATAGCCGTTGGGGGGGGGGGGGGCACACGTGGCGTGTGATGGCTGGCTGTCCGTGGGCGGCGTCACCGGTTGGGCGAAGACGCGGTGAGTAATGATGGCGTCCATCCGGAGGCCCGGAACCCAGGCCCAAGCCCGGATTCCAGCGCCTATAAATACCCCAAGGCCAGGCATTCCTCTGTGTGCGAAAAACTTGTTAGCGAAGCTCTGCCAATTTTTCTAGAGAGAGAAACAGCAGCCCTCGGTTGAATCCTCCGTTCTTAAGGTCAGTTCTCCCCTTGTCCTTCAGCCTCTTAGCTACCTGTACTGTGCCCTTAGGTTAGGAGATAGAAAATTTAGAAAACACTAGTGTCCGCGAGCCTTCGAACCAGAGTCAGCATGTCATCCCAGAGTGATTCCCAGGATATTTCGGGGGAGCCTTCGGTAGAGATGGTGACATGCTCAGATGTGGAGTCTTCGAGTGTGGAGTCCTCGGCAGCCGGTGATGCCGCAGTGGCTATGGAAGTGGAGAAGGACCTCCAGGCCGAAGTCGAAGCCGAGGGCTTCGAGCAAGAGAACGAGGATGAGGAGCTTGCCCTTGCCGTGCAAACCGCCGAGCACGAAGAGGAGAGGGAGCGGCTGAAGGTGACGGTTGCCATTCCTCCCCCCGGGGTGCCGGGGAAGCCAGCTCCTCCCGGCCATTGGACCCGACACCAATAAGTGTGGCTCCCGGGAAGAAAAACAAGACGAAGGCGGCCCCGAGGAAGAAGCAAGCGGCAGTGGATGCCGGGCGGCCGGTGGGCATACCCGAGGGCCATTCGTTCTTGAACACTGCTGCTCTAGAGCTGAAGACGAAGGCGTCCCCGGCAGAATACCAGTCCACCCAGTTGCTGGTTGGGCCTTCAGCGCGCGTGGTGGAGCCCAGGGCGGATGATTTGCTGCGATACGCGCCCGAGGGGTGCTTTGCTGCTCACACCCTCTCGGTGGAAATGGGGCTCCGGTTCCCGCTCCATCCTTTCCTCTTGGAGTACCTGAGATTTGTGGGGTTGGCCCCTTGCCAGCTAACGCCCAACAGCCACTCCTATGTGGCCGGATTCCTTTCCTTGTGTCAGAGCCGGGGGGTCGAGCCCACACTCGACCAATTCTTCATGTCCTTCAACCTGTGTCGGGGGGGACATTCAAATGCTGAGGGCTTTGCCAACCTTCAGCAGGTACTGGAGTTCCAGCTTTTCGATGATGTGCCCTCGTCTCACAAGGGGTGGAAGGAGAGGTTCTGTTATATCCGCCTCGAGGAGAATCCCTTCCCGGGCCAACTCCGTAATAGCTTCCGGCGCCACCCGAAGGTGGGGAGCGCAGCTTTGGAGAAGAACGGCAAAGTGCTTGCCAAGAAGCCGGAGGGGTCTGACAAGCATGTCAAGATCAGAGAAGTCACCCTTCCGGAGGATCTGCTTAACCTAGGCTTCCGGCAGTTCAGGCCGAGGGGCTCCTCGGATGAGAGATACCCTCCCCTCGATCGGGTCTTCGAAGGCGCCGGAGGTGATCACCGAAATGTTCACTGATGCGTTGATAGTTCTTTCGCATTCCGCCTGTTTTTTTTTATGACGTAGTGACTGGTAGCCTTCGATTTAACCCTTCTGTTTTTTTTTTGTTGCTTGCAGGTAGCAATATGGACGTTGGTTCCCTCTTCGCTTTAAAAAACGCGAAAGGAAAGAAGAAGGCCCCGGCGGGCGCTCCTTCTAGGGAGGGGCCCTCTCAAACTGTTGGCGCTGCTGCTGGCGCCGGAGGGTCAAAGGGTTCCGGGCCCGTAAAAAAGAAGGTTGCTGGAAAGGGGACCGAGCCCCCGGCCAAGAAGCCGAAGACCGCCGCCCCTACCAAACAACCGATCACCGATGTGGTGGTGATTGTTGACGAAGGGCACGCTTCTGCCTCCACCCCCCAGGAACAAATCAATCAGGAGTTCTTTGGGCGGGAGAGGTTGGAGGCGATAGTGCCGAAGGGGGCCTCCGTGTTGGAGGGCAGTTTGAACCCTTCGGCTTTGATGAGCCAGATGCTGCCGTCGGCCGACCGGCTGGCCCTTGCCCGGCTAGACGAGGGACCCCTCGAGGCGAAGGTCCTCCTGAATGCCGCCTCCGTAAGTCCCCCTCTCTTCCCTGCTCATTGCTATGTTTTTCTTCCGTACTCTGTTCCTTATGCCTTATTTTTGCCTTCGTGAATTGCAGGCTTTCATGGGCCTCTGTGAGCACCTCCGAAGGGTGGATCAAATGAGGGAGGCCAAGGGTGCCGTCGAGGGGGAGGCTGCCCTCCTCAGGAAGAAACTCGCTGAAGCCGAGGACTCTCTACGGCTGGCCACCGACGGCATGGAGCAGAGGTTGCAGGCAGCAAGGGCCGAAGGGGTCAATGAGGGGCTAGCCAGGGCCGGGGAGGCCGCCGCCGAGGCCGCCCGTATCGCTGCCGATGAAGCCCGCGCGGCTCAAGAAGAGGCCGTCTCCAAGGCCCGAGAGAATGCGGTGGCCAGCTTCGTGGCCGAGGGGTGGAAGGCCGAAGACCGGAGGGAGTGGCTGGCTTCGGTGGTGGGGGCTTCAGTAGATGAGTGGGTCGGGGGCCCCGGGAAGATGTGGCTTGCTGAGAGGGGCGACTCGTACTACCAAGGCGGGGAGTTCTTCACCCAACGCCTCATCTACCGGAAGCTTGCGAAGCACTTCCAGGTGGCACCGGAGGAGTTCCGTCCCGAGGCTTATGGCCTCCCCCCCCCCAGCCAGATGTCAGGATCCCGCTCCCCGAGGGGGAAGAGAGACCGGTTCTTGAAGACTCGGAGACCCTCCGGGAGTGCGGCCTTGGTGGTGAAGAGGATGAAGCCGAGAGTGAGGCGATATCTACAGTTCCCCCCTCTTAAATTGTACTTCCCCCTTTTGGTGTTGTAATTTGTTGGCCTCGGCCCCCTTTGTAAAGCACAATCAAACTACTTTTTTCTTTGTTGAATGAATGAGTACACACGCCCTCGGGCCCCTGTTATACAATCTGTTTCCTTTAGATTTGTTTATTGCCGAATGCATGCCTTCGTCTTGATTTGGATGTATGTCTTGATATTTGGAATGTATGTTTCCGGACTTAGAATGTTTTCTGATTGTAGCTTGCCACTGGAAGCCTTCGGTAGTTGGGCACCCTCTGCTGGATATGCAACTGAGGGTTCTGTAGGAATTAGGACTTAGAAAATTTCCCTAAGTGTAGCACAGTATGGGGCCTTCGGGTGTTTGTAGTAACCCAATCCATAGGACTTAGAAAAATTTCTAAGTGTAGATCCCACCTTGAGAGCCTTCGGGATACGGCGTCCCTTCCTGACGTGTGAATGTTTGGACCGAGGGCCCAATGCACAGGACTTAGAGATTTTTTGCAAGTGTAGTATGCCATGTAGCCTTCGGCTACTGTGGAGTCCCAACTGAAATATTGAATAGGCCGGGGGCCAATTCTTTAGGACTTATAAGATTTTCTTGAGTGTTGATTCCTTGTGTACCGTAGCCCTCGATTGATAGGTAGCCTTCGGCAATTAGGTCCCTCGAGATGAGGGCGAAATATGTAGGACTTAGAAAATCTTCTAAGTGTAGAGTTTCCCTTGGGAGCCTTCGGGAGTTGGCATCCCTCCTTGAGGTATGAGTAGTTGACCGGGAAAATCATTAAATTACAAAACGCTCCAAATTCCAAAAAACAACAAAGCAAGCCCTCAAGTCCTGACATGTGGGTAACTGAGGGACTGCCTTCGGCAGGGACATAAAAGCAACAACTTCTCACCAACCTCAGAGATCACAACGGGACAACATCAAAGGGCAAGCACAAATTACTCCTTTTCCCTCAAGTACCTTTCAGCAAAAGGAGTGAGGGACTCCTGATGGAGTATATGGCCCACAGACTCCTACTACTCCAGCAAAAGGCCCAACGGGCCCAAAAGGTCCAACAGGCCCAAATCACAGCGCCCAGAATACCAAGCAGCCCGCACTACGCGCCAGGGGTGCCTTCGGCCCCCGGCCGAAGGCTCTAAATTCTCACAGAACAGGTTTTTCAAGCAAACTAAGAAACTGGGGGAAAACGGCGAAAACAGTAGCCCTCGGTACTGTGATCCCTCGGCACCAAGGTGCCCTCGGTTGAAGGAGCCTTCGGCTACTGCTCTATGGCCGAAGGCATATCACTCGACAAGATATCCGTCTCACATACGTACAGATCACCGTACTCTGCACAGACGTCCCATCCAACAGCCGCATTAAATGCGGCCACATGCGGCTGCCAGCGCCAACCAGTTGAGGCGACCCCTCGGCCAATGAGCGCTTGACACGTGTCCCTGCCCGGCATTTATTGCCACTATAAATAGCCCCCCATTTCCCCATTTGTAGCCACGCTGAAAACGCTCCACATTTATAATACACTCTCTCTCTCTTACTTGTTTGCTCTGACTTCTCTCTAAGTTATTCCCCGTAATAACCCTTCGGATATATACCCCCGGGTAGACTATCCATCATTTGGTGCTTTCATTGAGAGGTTGAACAATCGAGTAAGAAACCCTCCCCCTCGACCAAACACAAAACACTAGCCCTCTATCAAAATGGTGAGGACAACGCGTGCCAACTCAAAGAACGTAGAAGACAAGAACCTGCCCCTCGGCGACGTCAACGCCCCCGAAGCTTCTCACAGGGCTCCCGAGGGCGGCGTCCTCGCTGGGCTGGAACAGGCGGCTGTCGACCTACGCCTTCAGATCCAACAAAACGCCCCCGATGCCCGCCTCGGCATCGAGGCCAAGAAGAAAAACCGGAGCGATGACCAAGTCAGCCCTCCGGGGAACCCGTCATCCAGCTCCGGACTCGGACGCCATTTACCCCAAGGGTATTAGCGGCCCGGATCCCGGAGAAATACCGAGGGCAACACATACAGCCCTACAGCGGGAAAACGGACCCCCAGGAACATTACAGCAAGTACCAGAACAGCATGATGATGGTGGGGGCGTCAGACGAATATTTGTGTCGTTGGTTCCTCTCCACCTTAGAGGGACCAGCATACGAATGGTTCAACAGGCTGCCCGAGGGCTGTATTGATTCATGGCAAGAACTCGCCCAGCGGTTCTTGACACAATTTGCCGGGAGGCGTCGCACAAGGAAGCACTTCTCCCACCTCCTAACAATACGCCAGAAGAAGGATGAGACCCTTCGGGATTTCCTGGAGCGCTGGAGGACGGAGGCCGACAAGGTCGACGGTGCTGATGACGGGACCCTCCTGGCCCTCCTACAAACCGTCCTCTGCACCGGCAACTTTTCAAGGAGCCTCATCATTGAACCCCCCCGCGACTACATAAGGGCCTTGCAGCGGGGGGACCGATATGCTGAGGCCGAGGAGGTGGAGAAGTATCACCAGCATCCGGACCAGCATCCCCCGAGGGCAGACAACAAGCACAACCGAGGGCCGGGGGCTCCTCCAAATCGCCCCAAGGCTTCGGGACCCTCTGATGACCGCCCTCGGCAAGGCCAAGCCAAGCCCGGGGGAGGTTATAGGAGCAACCCTAAGACTTGGGCCCAACCCATTCTCCTGGACCGCCCTCGGACCCCATTGACGCACCCCGTCAGCATCATCCTCGATTTTGCCGAGGAGAGGGGCCTCGTTGAGCGCGACTCTCGCGCACCCCCGGAGGTACACGCTATCAACCCTCAGTTACCCTACTGTCGCTTCCATCGGCACCAGGGGCACAGGACCAATGACTGCCATTAGCTGAAGACGGCCATCGAGAGGTTAATACAAGCAGGGCACCTGTCCCAATTTGTCCAGAGCCCTCGGCAGGAGGGACCTTCTCACCAGGGGCCTCCCCGAGGGCATCACACGAAGGTGAACGCTTGGGTAAACCCGAATACCATCCCCCTCGGCAAGAAAAGGGAGATTGGAAATTTGGAAGAAGAGGAGGAGGAATACCCCCACTACCAGGAGAAAAAACGCCACATCCTCATGATCACCGGTGGCAATACAGGGGGCGATTCCACCAGCCAACGAAAGAAGTGGGCTCAATCGCTTTACGTGGGGGAAGTCACTCATATGCCCCCGGTAAAGCGACTGAGGGAGGAACCCATCACCTTTACCAGCGCGGATATCCCTCCTACTTCTTCTCCTCACAGGGATGCCTTGGTGATTCGAACGGAGATCAACGACACCATCATTCACCGAACATACGTTGACACGGGCAGCTCCGTCAATGTAATGTACCTCAGCACCTTCAGAGAGCTGCATCTGGAGAGGGGGTCCCTTCGGCCCATTAAGACCCCTATCGCCGGCTTCACCGGCGATACTATTGATTCCGAGATGGTAATAACCCTCCCGGTGATCTTCGGCGACGGGATCCATAGAGCCCAGCTCGAAGTGGAGTTCGTCGTCGTCAACATTGACTGCGCTCACAACATCATCCTCGGCCGGCCAGCCCTCGAGGACCTCGAAGCCATCATCTCCATGAGGCATCTCTGCCTCAAGTTTCCCGCCGAAGGGGGCATTGGCTACTCCCGGGGGAATCAAAAAATTGCCTGCGCCTGCTATCTTCAGGTCACTAAGAAGGTAAGCAAGACAGAATTCCGTGTTGACACCATCACCGGAGCCGTCGACGAAGAGGAAAGAAGGCCGAGGGCTGAATCGGCCGAGGACGTAGAAGACTTTGCGCTCGATCCGGCCCAGCCGGAGAGAGCCGTGAAGATTGGAGCCCAGCTCCCTGAACATTTGAAGACCGGTATCACCGACGCCCTCCGCGCCTACTCCACTGTCTTTGCATGTGGGCCGGAGGACATGCCGGGAATCAGCCGAAGGGTCATCACCCACCACCTCTCGGTGGACCCTTCGGCAAAAGCAGTACAACAACGAAGGAGACCCCTCTCCGCCGAGAGGAGGGAATTCGTGAAGAAGGAAGTCGCCATGCTCCTCTCAATCAAGCACATCAAGGAGGTGAAATACCCCTCATGGCTAGCAAATGTAGTCCTCGCACAGAAGCCCCCCACCTTCCGCATGTGCGTGGACTACACCGATCTCAACAAAGCATGCCCCATGGATCCATTCCCTCTACCAAACATTGATCAATTGGTGGATGAGACCGCGGGGTGTGAAATCATGTCCTTCCTCGATGCCTTCCGAGGGTACCATCAAATATTCATGCACGAGGAGGACGCCGAAAAAACTGCCTTCATGACTCCCGAGGGCATCTTCTGCTACCTAGTAATGGCCTTCGGCCTAAAGAACTCAGGGGCCACTTACACCCGGATGGTGGCCCGGGTCTTTCAAGCCGTCCTAGGGCGCACCATGGAGGCCTATGTCGACGACATGATCGTCAAGAGCAAGCAATCTTCCAGCCATGCAGACGACCTCCGGGAAATCTTCGCCATCATGCAAAAATTCAACCTTCGGCTAAACCCGAAGAAGTGCACCTTCGGCGTCCAAGGGGGCAAATTCTTAGGCTACATGGTGAGCCGAAGGGGTATTGAGGCCAACCCCGAGAAGATCCAGGCCATCATCAATATGGAGCCCCCACGCAATGTAAAGGAAGTTCAACGGTTGACGGGCCGCCTGGCAGCCCTCAACCGTTTTCTATCTAAATCGGCGGAGAAGTCCCTACCCTTCTTCCAGATCATGAGGAAGACGGCTGGCTTTCTATGGACTCCAGAATGCCAGGGGGCTTTCGACGAGCTCAAACGGTATCTATCTTCACCCCTTGTGCTCTCCAAACCCAAGGTAGGGGAGACTCTCTACCTCTACCTTGGGGTCAGCCCGGCGGCCATCAGCTCTGTGCTTATCCGGGAGGAAGACGGCATCCAGCATGCCATCTTCTACGTTAGCAAGACCCTAAGGGAGGCCGAGCTCAGGTACTCCCCTGTGGAAAAAATGGTGTTAGCCATCGTTTGGACTGTCAAGAAGTTGGGCCACTACTTTCAGGCCCACCCGGTTCAGGTCCTCACCCATCAACCCCTCGGCGCCCTCATGAGGAGCCCCACCAGCTCCTCCCGCATGGTGAAATGGGCTATCTTCTTGAGCCAATACGACATTGACATCCGTCCAAGGCCTGCCATCAAGGGCCAAGCCCTGGCGGACTTTGTGACGGAATGTACCGCAAGGGCAGCCACGGACGGGGAGCCCTCGGCTACCTCGGACGACTGGTGGACCCTCTACACTGATGGCTCCTCCGCGACCAAAGCATGCGGGGGAGGGGTAGTCCTCATTACTCCCGAGGGCTTCAGGGCCTACTATGCAATCCGCTTCTCCTTCAAGGTCTCCAACAATGAAGCCGAGTATGAGGCCCTCCTATGTGGCCTTCGGCTGGCTGCCAACATGAGGGCTCGGCAGATCCACATCAAATGCGACTCCAAGTTGGTCGTTGGGCAAATCTCCGAAGAATATGAGGCCAAGGAAGGAAGAATGAAACAGTACAAGGAAGCGGCCAAGGAGTTGCTTAAGGTATTTGAGGCACACTCTCTCACTCAAATACCGAGGGCTCAGAACTCCGAGGCCGACATATTATCTAAACTCTCGGCAGACTCCCCCGAGCACATCTCCAAGATTGCCAAAATCGAGGAACTCAGCCTCTCAAGCATCCATGCAAGCCCCGTGATGAACATACAACGACGTCAGGAGGATTGGATTTCAGATATCACCGCCTTCATCTCCACAGGGCAGCTACCCGAGAATGAGGCCCGCGCTAAACTGGCAAAGCTGAGGGCTCCCAGCTACACCATCGAAGATGGAAGACTCTACAAACGATCTTACAATGGCACGCTACTTCGGTGCCTTCATCCAGATGAAGCCGAGGTCGCAATGGAGGAAGTGCACAGTGGCACTTGCTCAGCTCACCAGGGACCCTTCTCCATGTCCCGAAGGCTCATTCTCCAGGGCTACTTCTGGCCAACCATGGCCAGGGATTGTGCTGACCTTGCCCGGAGGTGCACCGCATGTCAACATTTCCAGAAAGCCCCCGGCAGGCCAGCGGTCAACTATGCCCCCATCAGCACATCTGTCCCATTTTCTCGATGGGGGATAGACCTTGTGGGCCCTCTGCCGAGGGGTACCTCCAACAACAGATACATCATTGTGGCCGTCAACTATTTTACCAAGTGGGTGGAGGCTGAACCCCTCGCCAGCATCACAGAGGCGAAGTGCCGTCACTTCGTCCTCAAGAACATCCTCACAAGGTTTGGCGTCCCCCAGCAGATCATCTCCGACAATGGAACACAATTTGAGGCAGCCCCCTTCTGTGCCCTTCTGGGGCATGGGGCATCAAACACACCTTCTCCTCCGTTGCCTACCCTCAAGGCAACGGGCAGGTAGAGAACGCCAACCGGACCTTGCTCGAGGGCCTCAAAAAGAAGCTGGAGGCCGAGGGTGGTGGCTGGGTGGAAGAACTTCACAACATCCTCTGGGCCTACCGCACTACCCCTCGGCGCGCTACAGGTGAAACACCCTTCTCCCTCTGCTACGGTTTTGAAGCCAAAGCTCCTACGGAAGTCACCCTTCCTACCCGAAGGGTGATCCAATATGACCCCGAGGTCAACGACAGCAACATGGCCCTCGACCTGCACCTCATTTCAGAACGCCGGGAGCAGGCCTTCATCCGGGCAGAAAACTACCGAAGGCAAGTTAAAAGCTACATCGACGCCAAAGTTCAAACCCGGGAATTTCAAGTGGGGGACTATGTCCTCCGGAGGAGGGAAGCCAGCCAACCAACCGAGGGAGGAAAAATGGCACCAAAATTCGAAGGCCCCTACATCATAGCAGCCATCATCAAACCCGGGACTTACAAACTCAAACGCCCCAACGGGAAAGAGGTCCCTAGGCACTGGAATGTACACCATTTAGTTAAATTTTATCAATAATGTAAGAGCGGCCAAGCCCTCATAACTAGTGAATGTACTATCCAATGGCCCAAGGCCTCCAATTTCGAAGAATGAAGATACATTCAAGACATCAAGCCCTCATACTGACTACAGGCCCCAGGCCTCACCACAAGAAGAACCCCCTCCGGTACCCATTGCCGAGGGCGGACACCATCAACACCTACAACAAACAGTGGAAACACCACGTGTTTTCAGTCAAGACCCCTCGGCACCCAGTGCCGAGGGTACTTCCCCACCTTCAACATCAAAAAAGAAAAGATTAGAACACCAAGTGTTCCTACAGAAGACCCTTCGGCACCCAGTGCCGAGGGTACACCTCCCTCATCAAATATCGAAACGAAGAAAAAACACCAAGTGTTTCAAAGAAGACCCCTCGGCACCCAGTGCCAGGGATATGCTCTCCTAACAGCTTCCAAACATCTATTGGGAAACACCAAGTGTTTCATTTGAAGACCCTTCGGTACCAAGTACCGAGGGTAGATGCCTACATCAACTACAACAAGAGAACATCAAGTGTTCCTACAGAAAACCCCTCGGTACCAAGTACCGGGGGCTACACATCGAAACTAACACCAAGTGTTGTTTCTAAAAGCCGTACCCCACGAGGACGCATATACCGAAGGCGCCACCATCGGTGCCGGCGGCACGTAGTGCGCCCGGCCATTTGCAACTAGTGTGCAAATGAAAACCCTTCCTTGAAACGCTTTCCGCGTCACTACCCCCAGGGTATGACAGGCATGAGAAATGCCCAGGATTCGACTTTCAAAAACGGAACGCTATCCGCGTCATTACCCCCAGGGTATGACAGGCATGAGAAATGCCCAGGATTCGACTTCCAAACCGAAACGCTCCCCGCGCCAACACCCCAAGGGTGTGGCAGGCCACAGACTATGTCTAGCGCCGAGGGGACGACTTTCAAAAATGAGGCGCTTTCCGCGCCATCCCCCAAGGGGAGGCAGGTTACGGACCACCATATCTTGTGCCCAGGAAACGTCCCTCGATCCCCTCGGCACTCGGAAGGTTAACCCGAGGGAGGAGAGCCATTGGTGTATTCTGATGGTCTCCTAATAGGCCCAGCCTTACCAAGAAACCAAGTTTCTTGATGCCTTCCCTTCACCACCAACCAAAAAAAAAAAAAAAGGGGGGGGGGGGGGGTGAAGGGGAGTAGACTCAGCGAGAAATCGAAGAGTACACTCCAACAATATCACAGCATGCCGAGGGCTCCCCACGGGAACACCTCCGGTAATTGAAGACTCCTATTTCCCGAAGGATACTACTCAAAGAAATATCATCAGGAAACGGCTAAAGTCCACTACCTGGTCACCTCCGGTCACAAAAACATCGAAGGCTTCAACAATACAAAGGGACTGGACTGTCCAAGGTCCACTAAACAGTACTTCAAACAAACACCGAAGGCATCTGTTATGCACGAATACCGAGGGCCCTTTCCCCATGACAAGGGTCAAATTCTACAACTTTTAATGTGTATGCCGAGGGCACACACTCCTCATTGGCTTTCTTCACAACAACAGGATTCAACATCAATTTATGCTTAGAAAAATCCTAAGTCCTGAAGGAGCAGCCCCCGGGCACCCGAAGGCTACACAAGGAAGCAGCACTACAAAAAATTCTAAGTCCTAAAGATGGAGCCCCCGGCCCAATCAATATTACAGCCAAGGGAATATGGTGGCCAAAGGCCATGCAATACAACAACACTTAAAAAAAAGAGGGTATTCCGTCTTGAATGAGTAGCCCCCGGGCATCTCGCAAAGTGATGTGGAATCAGAGGGCACCTATCACCCGAAGGCACCCAAGGAAGATTTATACTTAGAAAATTTTCTAAGTCCTACATGTTTTCCCCCCCGGCCAACTACTCATACATCAAGGAGGGATGCCATCTCCCGAAGGCTCCCAAGGGAAATTTACACTTAGAATATTTTCTAAGTCCTACATGTTTTTCCCCGGTCAACTACTCATACATCAAGGAGGGATGCCATCTCCTGAAGGCTCCCAAGGGAAATTTACACTTAGAATATTTTCTAAGTCCTACATGTTTTTCCCCGGTCAACTACTCATACATCAAGGAGGGATGCCATCTCCCGAAGGCTCCCAAGGGAAATTTACACTTAGAATATTTTCTAAGTCCTACATGTTTTTCCCCGGTCAACTACTCATACCTCAAGGAGGGATGCCAACTCCCGAAGGCTCCCAAGGGAAACTCTACACTTAGAAGATTTTCTAAGTCCTACATATTTCGCCCTCATCTCGAGGGACCTAATTGCCGAAGGCTACCTATCAATCGAGGGCTACGGTACACAAGGAATCAACACTCAAGAAAATCTTCTAAGTCCTAAAGAATTGGCCCCCGGCCTATTCAATATTTCAGTTGGGACTCCACAGTAGCCGAAGGCTACATGGCATACTACACTTGCAAAAAATCTCTAAGTCCTGTGCATTGGGCCCTCGGTCCAAACATTCACACGTCAGGAAGGGACGCCGTATCCCGAAGGCTCTCAAGGTGGGATCTACACTTAGAAATTTTTCTAAGTCCTATGGATTGGGTTACTACAAACACCCGAAGGCCCCATACTGTGCTACACTTAGGGAAATTTTCTAAGTCCTAATTCCTACAGAACCCTCAGTTGCATATCCAGCAGAGGGTGCCCAACTACCGAAGGCTTCCAGTGGCAAGCTACAATCAGAAAACATTCTAAGTCCGGAAACATACATTCCAAATATCAAGACATACATCCAAATCAAGACGAAGGCATGCATTCGGCAATAAACAAATCTAAAGGAAACAGATTGTATAACAGGGGCCCGAGGGCGTGTGTACTCATTCATTCAACAAAGAAAAAAGTAGTTTGATTGTGTTTTACAAAGGGGGCCGAGGCCAACAAATTACAACACCAAAAGGGGGAAGTACAATTTAAGAGGGGGGAACTGTAGATATCGCCTCACTCTCGGCTTCATCCTCTTCACCACCAAGGCCGCACTCCCGGAGGGTCTCCGAGTCTTCAAGAACCGGTCTCTCTTCCCCCTCGGGGAGCGGGATCCTTACATCTGGCTGGCGGGGGGGGGGGGAGGCCATAAGCCTCGGGACGGAACTCCTCCGGTGCCACCTGGAAGTGCTTCGCAAGCTTCCGGTAGATGAGGCGTTGGGTGAAGAACTCCCCGCCTTGGTAGTACGAGTCGCCCCTCTCAGCAAGCCACATCTTCCCGGGGCCCCCGACCCACTCATCTACTGAAGCCCCCACCACCGAAGCCAGCCACTCCCTCCGGTCTTCGGCCTTCCACCCCTCGGCCACGAAGCTGGCCACCGCATTCTCTCGGGCCTTGGAGACGGCCTCTTCTTGAGCCGCGCGGGCTTCATCGGCAGCGATACGGGCGGCCTCGGCGGCGGCCTCCCCGGCCCTGGCTAGCCCCTCATTGACCCCTTCGGCCCTTGCTGCCTGCAACCTCTGCTCCATGCCGTCGGTGGCCAGCCGTAGAGAGTCCTCGGCTTCAGCGAGTTTCTTCCTGAGGAGGGCAGCCTCCCCCTCGACGGCACCCTTGGCCTCCCTCATTTGATCCACCCTTCGGAGGTGCTCGCAGAGGCCCATGAAAGCCTGCAATTCACGAAGGCAAAAATAAGGCATAAGGAACAGAGTACGGAAGAAAAACATAGCAATGAGCAGGGAAGAGAGGGGGACTTACGGAGGCGGCATTCAGGAGGACCTTCGCCTCGAGGGGTCCCTCGTCTGCCCTCGGGGGATGCTGGTCCGGATGCTGGTGATACTTCTCCACCTCCTCGGCCTCAGCATATCGGTCCCCCCGCTGCAAGGCCCTTATGTAGTCGCGGGGGGGTTCAATGATGAGGCTCCTTGAAAAGTTGCCGGTGCGGAGGACGGTTTGTAGGAGGGCCAGGAGGGTCCCGTCATCAGCACCGTCGACCTTGTCGGCCTCCGTCCTCCAGCGCTCCAGGAAATCCCGAAGGGTCTCATCCTTCTTCTGGCGTATTGTTAGGAGGTGGGAGAAGTGCTTCCTTGTGCGACGCCTCCCGGCAAATTGTGTCAAGAACCGCTGGGCGAGTTCTTGCCATGAATCAATACAGCCCTCGGGCAGCCTGTTGAACCATTCGTATGCTGGTACCTCTAAGGTGGAGAGGAACCAACGACATAAATATTCGTCTGACGCCCCCACCATCATCATGCTGTTCTGGTACTTGCTGTAATGTTCCTGGGGGTCCGTTTTCCCGCTGTAGGGCTGTATGTGTTGCCCTCGGTATTTCTCCGGGATCCGGGCCGCTAATACCCTTGGGGTAAATGGCGTCCGAGTCCGGAGCTGGATGACGGGTTCCCCGGAGCCCTCAGCCACCTTCTTCTGTAACTCCTCCATTTTGGCCATCATGGCCTCGTATTTGAGATCTGAGTGAGGGGTGGAGGTGGTGGCGTGAGCTTTGTTGGATTCCATTTCGTCAAGCCGGCGCTGGAGGGCCGCAATAATCTCGTCCCGGGGGTCCCTCGGGAGGGTCTCCGCCCCCTGCGAACGAACCCGGGCCGAGTGGGCCTGGTTGATTTGGTGCCGAGCATCATCGGCATGAAGGGGTGCCTTGCCTTTGTCCCGAGGGGGACGCTCCTCGTCTGCCCTCGAAACAGATCCCCCGCTTTCCTGGGGCCTTTGGAGTGCTTCCCCCCCGAGGCGGTCTTGGACCCCTCGGCGATCTGGCCCTCCTCCGAGCCGGTTGAGGGCGGAAGTATGGGGCCTCTCCCTGTTGTCATTATGGCGGTCCCGGGACTGAACTTCCTGGGAGGATGTTTCTTGGGCCACCACCCCTTCGTCGTTTCTCACCCGAGGGGTGGGATTTCCGAAGGGGTGTGGCAGAGGGGGAAGTATGGTATTTTCCCCGATCTGAGGGTGAGTTGGAGCCAGGGTGCCGAAGGCACCCGGGTTCTGGGTGAGCGTTTGGATGAAGGCGGAGAGCGCCGATTGTACGTCGATGGTGAGAATCGGAGGGCTGACTTGGTCATCGCTCCGGTTTTTCTTCTTGGCCTCGATGCCGAGGCGGGCATCGGGGGCGTTTTGTTGGATCTGAAGGCGTAGGTCGATAGCCGCCTGTTCCAGCCCAGCGAGGACGCCGCCCTCGGGAGCCCTGTGAGAGGCTTCGGGGGCATTGACGTCGCCGAGGGGCAGGTTCTTGTCTTCTACGTTCTTTGAGTTGGCACGCGTTGTCCTCACCATTTTGATAGAGGGCTAGTGTTTTGTGTTTGTCGAGGGGGAGGGTTTCTTACTCGATTGTTCAACCTCTCAATGAAAGCACCAAATGATGGATAGTCTACCCGGGGGTATATATCCGAAGGGTTATTACGGGGAATAACTTAGAGAGAAGTCAGAGCAAACAAGTAAGAGAGAGAGAGTGTATTATAAATGTGGAGCGTTTTCAGCATGGCTACAAATGGGGAAATGGGGGGCTATTTATAGTGGCAATAAATGCCGGGCAGGGACACGTGTCAAGCGCTCATTGGCCGAGGGGTCGCCTCAACTGGTTGGCGCTGGCAGCCGCATGTGGCCGCATTTAATGCGGCTGTTGGATGGGACGTCTGTGCAGAGTACGGTGATCTGTACGTATGTGAGGCGGATATCTTGTCGAGTGAGATGCCTTCGGCCATAGAGCAGTAGCCGAAGGCTCCTTCAACCGAGGGCACCTTGGTGCCGAGGGCTCACAGTACCGAGGGCTACTGTTTTCGCCGTTTTCCCCCAGTTTCTTAGTTTGCTTGAAAAACCTGTTCTGTGAGAATTTAGAGCCTTCGGCCGGGGGCCGAAGGCACCCCTGGCGCGTAGTGCGGGCTGCTTGGTATTCTGGGCGCTGTGATTTGGGCCTGTTGGACCTTTTGGGCCCGTTGGGCCTTTTGCTGGAGTAGTAGGAGTCTGTGGGCCGGGGGTTCTCGGGCCATATACTCCATCATGATTTATATACAATTGGTGGCTAGAATCCATAAATCGACATTGAAATTATTTTACAATTTAAATATAGAGTGATTACAAAAAGGCATTTAGTAAACCCTATATTTTTTAATGATTGAGATTATAAAATTTCTCATCGATAAGATTAGTGTACGTTTATGATGACCTCAACCATTAGTATAAGATGAAACACCATAACCTTCTGTTGATGTTTGTATTGAATATATGGAGAGAATCCCCTAAATAAGACTAAAAGAAGGTATAATTGCAAAAACTAGACCACTATGTTTTATTGGACAAAAATAAGACTAAGAAGAGCTAATCTAACAAAACTACCCTTAATGAATAAAATTAAACGTTCGCAGGGGTTGTGCGAGTTCCCCTGTGCACAGGTGTGCGTCTCCAACTCTCCAAGCCTCCACAGTTCAGTCGATGCCTCCACCAATGGCGCCTCCTCCACCCTCCATCAAGTATGCCACCACCACCCCTCTCAGCGAGTACAATGCCATCATTTTTCGACAAGCATGTGCCCTCTGGTGTCTTTGTGAAGACCTCCATGAGGAATGTCACTTTATATGCGAGAATGCCAAATAATGACACAATAATGACAATTTTGTATAGAAACATGACATTCTCAATATGACATTTTCAAATATTATAATGACGTAAAAGTGTTATTTTGTAAAAATACCCAATAATTATGACATTCTCTTATTCAAAAAGTGTCATTTTATGGAATCATTAGTCAGGGCATTTTGAGATTCAAAATAATCAAAATTGATAACAAGAAATTCAAGTTTAGATATATCTTCATTAAAACTTTCAAAATTCAAGCAGTTATTTGAAATTTGATTGATAGAAAAAAAAGAGAAGTAGGAGGAGGAGGAGGAGGAGGAAGGAGAGGAAGATGAAGAAGAGGAAGAGGAAGAGGAAGAAGAAGAGATTACCTACCTGATCGCCGATGAGTGCAGGGCTATGGCAGACGGTGCTGGGGTGCGAGTCGGCGATGGTGGAGCTGCAGTCCATGGGAGGAAGGAGTAGTGGATTGCCAATGAATTGCCGATGAGGTGTGTTTAATTAAATAGGGGTAAAAGTGTAATCTTTAGTCTAATTTTGGGAATAATAAACTTGTAGTCTTATTTTGGAATTTAGGCACTGTTTTAGTCTCATTTAGGGTAATTACTTATTTTAAATCTACTTCACTTTTAGTTGTAAGAAGAGCTTTTCATGAAATATTTCATGAAACTTAAAAAAATCATATCGTCAGTATTGAATTTGTAAATTTAGGAAAGATTGTGAATTACTCTATCTTTCACCGCTCGAACATTATTCAAGTAATCAACTTAACTCCCTTCTAATCTCTAAATTTATATAGTAAATCTTTATGATTTCTCAAGTCAATTTTGTCATTTAATTATTGATAACTTTATTTTAAAATGAATGATAATGATCACTCATACTTCATTCTAAACTTGTGCTTCTTAAATTTTCCAATAATCATTGGAGATTAAAGAAGAATATGAGTTTAAGATACATATACATAGATTGAAGTAAACATAATTAAGTTGACCTATATAAACAGTTACCTCGATGAAGTTGGTAGTGAAGTTGATGAAAGTAGGCAAAGCTCTACTTCCCACATAGGCATCAGCCTCTATATTCAAATTCTCAAACCTCACTTCTATGGTTGGCATATCAATCCCAACTCTGCAAGAATCAAAATCCAAATTGTTTGAAAAATAATGTACAAATTCAGGGCATATATAAGAGGGGTTGGATGGAGCATTCAACCTCCATTAGAAAAAGAATCTAATGTACAAATGTAGGTATACATATCTTTAATCAATAAAAGATATATTATTATTTTAAGCTTTGGCGCTTGCAAAGTAAAACTCTCGGTTTTCTTATAATCGTTCTTAAAAAATTAATTTTTCTTGATCAATGCCAATGATTTTGACTAATGATATCAAAATGTTGTTTATTAAAAGTATTTTCATAGAAGTTAAAATTTATAATTGTATACAAACACTCCGTATAATACTTAAAATTATTGTTTAAAGTTTGTCGATCAAGAAAGATTGACAAAGCATTGGCAAAAAAAGAGAGGCCTATATAAGGGAATTGTGGAACATGCATTAGTATTTATCACCTATCAATTCTATCCTTGAGCTTGATCAAGAACTTCTCATTGTCTTCATCAGCAACCTTGACGAGCCTACCAAGCAAGGCCTGCCTTTCCTGGTATCCGAGATTGTTGATATCAACCTCGGAAACCGGTCCATCACCGGGTCCGAAAAGCAGGCCGCGCCTGAGGCGGTCGAAGGTCGGGAGTTTCTCCAGCGCGGCCCATTTGAGCGCCTCTTCGTCATCCTCGTCGCGCGATGATCGCGAGAACACTTCAGCCCCAGTGTTCCTCCAAATGGAATTGCTGCTCCCTCTCAGGCTGCCCCTAATACTACTACTACTACTACCTCGTAATATCCCCAGATCCGCCGGCTCCATCCCCCGACCACTCCCTCAGTTCTTGGAATTTATTCAGCTTTTTTTTGGGTTTGACTTTGTTTGACCGAAATCTTAATCGTCTTCCTCCTTCGATTTGTATGAATGTGAATGACGAAAGAACAGAGAGGAGCAGGGTAAAGAATTCTGTGAATCTGCGATTTCTGTATATTGAGCTCCCAGCTTCGGGTATATATACAACAATTACAAATACAGAGTATCAGAGTATAGTATTCAGAGGCGGCTTGGGAGGATATTCAAAGTAGGACCTTTCCTACTCATATCATTAGCTCTCCATCTTTATTTATAAAGTTTTTTTTTTAAATTTTAAAATATACTCCTACTTTATACCACGTATGAGATCTATCGAAAAGTAGGTTGATTGAAGCATTTGCTATTGAGATTTTTTTTGTTGAAAATGCAAATTTATTTTGACACAGCTGCATCAGGAAAGTATAAAATTGTTTATATGTGATCATACACAAAGAAATAATATACTCATACGTACTCATATGCTCGTAATATAGCATACTCAGATTTTTATCAATAACTATTACGGAGTAATATTCTACTCCTTATGTTCTCATAACAAAGAATAAGATGGTCTAGGTTTCCTTGACGAGACATACCTCACAATATTTTTCTTTGAGTTTTCTAGTCACTTTTAAACATAAGAGTTACTCCCTCCGTATCTATTTAGATGATCCATTAGATTTTTTTAGTAGTTTAAGAAGAAATATAGGTGTACTGTAGATAAAGTAAAAAACACTGTAAATGATTAAAATATGTGGGTGGGATGTAGATTTAATTGGGAGGAATAATGGGGTAAGTGAAAAGAAAAATGAAAAATGTAAATATTTAATGATGGGAGGTTAAAAGGTGATGAGGTCCATATCTAAAAAGAGAAACATGACATTTTTTTTATACACCCCGAAAGGGAAAACCAGACAAGTAAATAGATATGGAGGGATTACTATTTATCGTCTTGCTCCGACGTTTTCTAGCGGCGTCACGTGATGATCAACGGACCCCTCATACAATAATAGAGTTTAAACACATGACCCACTTTGTTAAAAAAATGAACCACAACACCTGTCAAAAAACGTGTCTAATCACAAGTACATTTTATGTACTTTTCCCTACTTATTAACCGCTACGGAGTACGATACACTATGTGTCACTTATGTATTTATTAAAATACAAGGAAAAATATTTTAAATACTTTTTTTATACAGTTTAAGATGATTTACTAATAATAAATCAACTCTTCTTTGACATTGTATATGAGCATTAATAACTAAAAGTTACATAATCTCAACAAAAACTTTTTTGAATCACCAAAACCCCCAAAATTCAAAAGAAAAAAGATTTATTATATGAAACTAGATGTTAATTAAAATAGAATAATGTTGATTATGTGAATAGTACTAGAGTAGTGAATGAGGATTTTTAATAGCACATGAGGAGAGTAATAACTATTAATTGCACAAATCTAAAGGTATGAATGGAATGACAAGAGGGAGTAATTGTTGATAACTAGTTACTCCACTCGTGCGCTGTACGGGAGTGAGACATCCACATAATAATTTAGATATAATTATATATTTAAACATATTTGAAAAAAGATGATTGTGTTAGAATTATTTGAAAACATTAAATAAATTCTGAATAAATGGTAAGAACTAAATGTAAAAAATCACACGATGAAATGGTTCTGCATGTAAGTCCACCACACTATAACGAAAATTATAAATTAATCTATACTACATATCTCTTTGTAAACAACATTCAATGTTGATTTGGTTGGTTGTCCATCTTCGTCATTACAAACTCCAATACCACGAACTTGTTACTCTCCACACCACCACATATAAATGATTGTGAGTAATGAAGGGGCATCAGAGTAAGATAACAACCTTTTCAACGATTGTATGTGACTCTTATTAAAGGCCATTGCAAACCTAACAATTAATAGAAATTGTGTGTGCTGAAAATCTACATAGTCTAATGTCTAATGGTGCTAAAGTGAATCTAAGAATAATAAACTTTTTACCGACATTTTCTCCATGAATCATTTGAGCCTTGATGGTATGAGCTTGAAGTATAATCACCACAAATGGTGTACAATTGTACAATTCGGATGAATGATCTATATTCCTCATAAGTTTTCAGCTTTACCTATTGAATTGACAAATTGGAACATTTAATGTTGTTTAAAATCCAGAACATTTAGCTAAAGGAATGCATCTCGTGTAGAAGGTCACTATATGAGCTAAATGATAAGCTAAATCTAAGCTCATATGAGTATTTAGCTTTGAATCTATCAGACATAACATGTATTCTTTACCTCATCAACCACATATATTGAGCAAGAATAGACTTGAAATAAAGATACGAAGTCATATTAATTTCAATTAAGAAGTTATGAGAAATGCTCAACAATAGATTCAACAGGATCAGATACCAATGGAACAATATTATCGTTCAATATATCACTGAGTGATGGTCCATAAGAGATTGGATATTGGGGCCACTTGGCTCACCATCCATCCTTGCAAGTCTCATACTCGTAGGTTGTGTAACTGCAATACAATATGACCATATGAATGAAGAGTTTGAGGTTCTACGTACAATATCTTGCCTCATGTCTTACAGAACCACAAACAATATATGTCTTAAGTCATACCTGAATATAATTGACATCCTACTAAAAGGCAAGCTTGCATCACAATGAGTGAAGGAGCGAAGGACACCCACTACAAAAAAATTCGCCTGTAGTCACGGACCGTAGTCACGGATTTGGACCGTGACTAGTTAGTCACGGTTCTAATCACGGTGTAGTCACGGAATCGTTAAAAAAAAGTAGTCATGGATTTGTCCATGACTACGTCCGTGACTAGAGGTAGTGACTACGTCCGTGACTACGTCCGTGTTAGTCACGGACTTTTTACATTACGGTCCGTGACTACGTCCGTGACTACAGGCGAATTTTTTTTTAGGTACCTCTCATACTTCGATTGACCAAGAGCTTCAAAAAAATGTTGGTGTGCCATTGATATCGTATTTAAGATTACATATTAATATTTAAATATAGTTAAATGGATACTAGATTTTATTAATATCAAATAAGTTTTTTATATTTTTACTATTTTTTATATTGTTATTACATTATTTTTCAATATTTTATAAGATTTATCAATAGTCCTAATTTAAATTTTCACTCCTAACTTGCTTTAGCATATCAAAATGACTTGATTGATTTGTATTTAAAAAGTAAGCAGACACTCATGATATTTTTTTAAAAGAATGGCTTAAGTGATTAGTTGAAAATAGTAGAAAGAATGATTTGACCATTTTACCTTTAGGCGGGAGAATCTTCTCTTTCTGGTGTAGTGCTATTGGGTATAGGAGGATTTGGTGTGAAAACTTAGAGAAGAGCTCTGAGGAAGAAGTTGAGTCTGGGGCGGAAGATGATGACACAGGCTTCTCAGGAGAGGTGTACAACTCTTTTTTTTTTGTTTTTTTTTTGCAGAAAGTGAAATTACATTTTAGGATTTTAGACTTAGGCGGGAGAATTTTATCTCTCCAGTGTAGTGCTTTAGGTATATGATGATGATGATGCTTTTTTTGCAGAAACTGAAATTACATTTTAGGATTTTAGGCGGAGAATGCTTAGGCGGGAGAATTTTCTCTCTCCAATGTAGTGCTTTTAGGTATATGATGATGATGATGATGATGATGGTGATCTTTTTTTTGCGGAAAGTGAAATTACATTTTAAGATTTTTAGGCTTAGGCGGGAGATTTTTCTCAGGAGAGGCGTACAACTCGTATTTTATTCATGGAAAGTGAAATTACATTTTAGAATTTTAGGTTTAGACGGGAGAATTTTCTTTCTCCAGTGTAGTGCTTTTAGGTATATGTTTTTTTGTGGAAACTGAAATTACATTTTAGGATTTTAGGCGGAGAATGTTTAGGTGAGAGAATTTTCACTCTCCAGTGTAGAGCTTTTAGGTATAAGATGTTTTTTTGTGGAAACTGAAATTACATTTTAGGATTTTAGACGGAGAATGTTTAGGTGAGAGAATTTTCTCTCTCCAGTGTAGTGCTTTTAGGTATAAGATAGCTTAGATAAGTAGGGTCAATGGACACCTTCTAGACGTGCTAAATTATTGGATGAACAAATTATAGTCCCAAATCCTTACAGAGAGCTTCAAAGAAGTATCCAATTTCGGTATTTTGTTCAGCTTAAATGCAACTCCTTCTAGATTGTCAATATGATCACGCTTACGTCCCGGCCCGGCCCGGCCCGCTCATCCGCTCCGAATTTTCTTGGTTGACCAGCTCGCCGATTCGGACTTTCCATGAAGTCGTTGACAAATTAGAAATAGAAGTGAAAAGCATTGGAACTTTTGATTCGGGAAACACCGGCGATCCGCTTATTACTCCCTCCTCCTACCCTTTTCCCCCCATAATAAACTTCACAGTTTGACCTACACATATATTAAGGAAATAAACTTATCATGGGATAAATTTTACTGTTTTGATACTGCTTCGATACTGTTTGATACTGTTTTGCACTGTTTCGACACTTTTTGACACTGTTTTGCACAGTTTGACACTGTTTTGATGTAGATTAACTTGTCATTTAAGGAAATGGGAACTTGTATATGAGATATCGAAATAAGGAAAGTGGGAAGTTCATTGCGGGACGGAGGGAGTATTTAAAAGACAAATTACCCAAACTAGAACTAAAAATTGTGTATATTTCAAAAAATGACTATCATGCTTTTATTCCCAAAATAAGACTAATTATTGTCATGTTTTGGCAGTAACAGACTTTAAACATGACAGTATTTTCCAAACTTGGCAATAATTACTCCTATTTTGGGAATAAAAAAATAGCAGTCCTATTTTGGAATTTTCAAATTTTTTTACTCTTATTTCGGGAATTTTCACTATTTAAAAGTGTTATAAAACCACCAAATTTATAATCAGGACACAAATTTAGTTTTCATCCTTATAATCATAGATAGACAGATGTCTAGTTTTAATGTTGCCATCAAAATGTGTAGAATTACTCTTTGATGATTCATCACCAAGCTTGGCTAGTATAAATAGGCTTGATCAATCGCTTGTAAATTTACTCAGAAATTTTCATATTAAGAATAAGTAATTTAGAGCTCATTATTATAATTATATCTATCTCTTAAATCTACTATTCATCTTCTTCATTCCACATCTTATTAGTATTATATCTATCTCTTAAATCAACCTTTCATATTATAATGGTGTTAAGATAAAATTTTATATACATTTTGGGTTACTTTTATTACACATCCAAGTTTATGGTGCTTACCTCACACCTCTTAGAAGTTTGAGTTATTTAAATTATTTACTCCTTAAATAATTAAAAAAAGATATTTTTCTTTTATTTTTTCTATTAAAAAAATACAATTTTTTTTACTCCAGGGGGTCTGGGGGGAGGGGGCTGGAGTAATTAAGACTGAAACTCACTCTATTGAGTTTCAAACCCTTATGTGCCTAGCGGGTTTCGAATTCGAGACCTCCCACTAGTTGTCCGGTTGTAGAATGAATTTTATATGTAAATGTAGAATGAATTTTATATGTAAATGTAGAATGAATTTTATATCTAGTTTTGTGGGTTAAACTATCTTAATTTTTCGATGATGTAGGGTGACCATGAAACATTATGCTTCTTTAATATTTTATTTTATTTTTTATTAATTGTATATTAATCAGAGTTACATTAGGGTAGGGATCTCATGGCTCAGTTTTCGTGCTCCGCCACTCTTTGGATATGAATAGAGAATTGTTTCTGCGTATATATTAATAAGACCACGTAAAACAATTTTTCAAATGCATATATTGCAAATTTCTGCGTGCAACAACACCTTATTTTCCACAAATTCAAGGATTAATAAGCGTTGAAGGAAGACAAACCAATTTCAACATAAATATAATATGCTTTGTAAATGATATGCGAATATTAATGAACCAATTTACTCGTATAATAAACTATAAAGGATCTTCAAAACTTTATCTTTCAAAACTTTATCTTTCAAAACTTTATCTTCCTCTGCTATTTAATTTACTTGTGAGCTCCAGCAAAATCCAGAGACTCGTACTTCCGTGGACTGCAAAAATAAATTTAAAATAGATAACATCAATGAAATATACGAAAAAAATTGGAAGCCATGGAATGTACAAGAGATTAAAACTAGGATAAGGATACTCTTATTCAATTTGCTCATTAACACACTTTTCATTTTTATTTTTATCAATTATCAAATTAAATATCACAAACATTTTAATTTTCATTTCTCTTTTCATCTAGTCCTGTCGCATTTTACTTTTGGAGCCATATTACCTTTCCTTCATTTGGGATCAGAAGGGCCCAAACCCAAAGTGTTGAATATCAACTATCCCTTTTATTTATGAAAAATTATATTTTTAGTTTGTACGCAAAATTTGGGAAAATTATATCGTGGGATCGGCCCACCATGCGCATGGTGTGGATCCCCAATATGGTAGTGTTTTTTTAATTAAAAACGAAGTAGTCAAATATTCTTTTCTCATTTGACCAGTTTTTATTCTCCGTTTCTTCACTCCATTATTTTTTCTCCAACATCGTTTTCACCCACAATTTCACCCAGTTTTTTTATTCTTCCATTCGACCTTTCCCTTTCTTACTTTCTCTTGCATTTTCTATATCCATGCTTTCTAGCATATTTTAATAATTAAGTAGCCATGCTTCCACGACTCTTTCTTCTTTTTTTACTTTGTTTTCTTTGTCAATTATCTTCAATTCCATTATTAAAATATTAAAAATATGATTACAATTTATAATTCCATTTTATATGTTTTTAGTGTTTTTCAATGCATTGAGTTTGATTATTTCCATTTACATTTAATAAAAACATGTGATTACATTTTCAAGTGTGCAATTTACATTCATACATGATTCCTGAAGTGATATGTAATACTACACGAAGTTACATCTTCTTATGCGGGACTTACATATTTTTATGCGCGAGTTACATGTAATTATGTGTGAGTTATATCTAATTATTTGTGATTTTTTACTTATCTTTATCTTGAACTAATTAAATTATAACTGAATTAATTTTTTTCTTTACCAATTTAATACAAAATTTTATTAATTCACATAAAATAAGTATATTGTATTTCACATTCATACACTATTTCTTACTTTGTATACTATTTTTTATATTTATTATACACTTTTTGTAAAACATTTTTTATATTCATATACTTTTTTCTATAATATATTTTTTATCTCTTTTATATGTTTTTTGTGTTTTATAGACATTAAGGTTGTTTATTTCGATTTAAATTTGAAAAAAACATGAGAATAATACATTTTTCGTATGTGTGAGTTATGTTTATAGACAATTTCTATATTTACATTTGATATTATATGGAGTTACATCTTCTTATGTATGATTTACATCTTTTTGTGCGTGAGTTACATCTTTCTATACGCAAGTTACATTTGAGTTTGCCTTAGCAAATTACATTTTGCATGCACTAAAATTAGATTTTCAATCAACGCGAGTTACGTTTTCTGTAATACGAATTACATTACAACATAAAGCCTACTATTGAAACAAAAGAATCATTGTTATGCAAAAAAAAATGGTTTCCAAAAAAAATATGTGTTTTGGCAAAAAAAAAAAATTAAATCATTTTTATGAACTTAGTATTAAACGCAAAATATATTCACCATTTATGTTATTATGTTATCCCTTGCTATTGAATAAAAAAAGTCACTTCTTTTTTTTTGGGATTTTTTGGCAAAAAAAGATAAAAAAACATTTTTATGTCTTTAATATTAAAAACTGTACATATGAACCATTTAAGTAAAGTGATTGAGCAATTAGACTCCTTGTTTTCATTAAGATCAATGTTTTAATTCTTATAATTCGTATTAGACAAGTTACATTTTGATTTGCTTACCGTTACATTTCTTATTAGCTTGAGTTACATTTTGTTACACACGAGTTACATCTATTTCTCTACTGGGACAATGAAAATACAAAAAAGAAGTTATTGTTCACGCGCGTGAATAGTAACATGTTTTTTGTGTGGGAGCATCATGCTCACCGTGGGCTGCTCCCACGGTATATCAACTGAAAATTAGCATTCAAATTGTACACACCCATTTATCGATTTTGTGTATAACAAGAATTACATTTATTTATTAAATTAACAATCCTATCAAATTAAATTTATTTGAACGACAAATGGTGTCAAATCCTAAAATGTGCCCATTTAAGAGCATCCACAAAGGGAGAATGTGTTGTCTAGGCAAACGGATCACGTCATTAAATTAAACATTTTGTTCATTTTCATCTCCAATGGAGGTAGTCTATCAGTCTATGTGCTGAGTTGGCAAAAGTAATTAATGCACTGCCCATAGAACTTTGTAAGTGTAGAAAGTAAGAGTAGACATATTGGTTTAGTTTAACCTTATTGATCTATATCAAACCGCACTAAACCGAAATGAATCATAAGCAATTTTTTTTTTGTTTGGTAATATTTCATTCGAGTAAATTTGGAAAGTAAAACATTTTATTTTACATACACTAATAATAACTCAAGTTTAAGCATGGAGTTGGGAGAGAAACGTACATAGTGAAAGGATCACGACGATTCGGGTCCTTGAGAACCCGGGTCTCAGGGTCTTGAATTTGCCCAACTTTCCTCAAGAAAGATTTATTCACAAATTTATCAGCTGACCCGACGACAGTCTTCGGATCATCCACTTCCACCAAATTTTCTCTCTTCTTCTTCTTAACCTGCACTGAAGGAGAGTGAATCAATTGATTCTTGGCGGTGTGGACGCCCATAAACAACACCACGGATACGAATCCGGCCATCATCCATAGAGGCATTGCATCTCCTGACGCCAACCTGAAATCAACTCATTGGAACAAATGTGACCTATTTTTGTAGAACAAATCAAACTTAAATGAGTGAATTATCATGTAAATTTTGGTAATTTTGAAAGAAAATTGAAAACAATCATGGGTTTTAAATATGAAAAATGTTGTTTATACATATTTTATGTACACGTCATCTTACACACAGTCCAAATAATTCGATCGCCACGTAATTTGACGTGTATGAAAAACGTAAGCTAAACACAATTGTTGAATTTTTTATTACAAATTTTGAAGTTATTACATGTACATGATTTACATAATATAATGAGCCAAAAAATAATCTATCAGATATTAAGTTAAAGCTTCTAGTTGTGTGATTATTGTTGTTACTGTAGATTATCTAAAAATACGCATAAATGTTTTTCAAAATACATTCCATTTGTTTTTAGAATGTTACTCCTCTGTCTCAATTTACCAATCTTATTTTTTTTAAGTTATCCCAAAATAAGTGTTACATTTTTTTGAAAAAAAGTATGTGATATACTATCCTCCGTTCTTTAATTCTTGCAACAGTTTGATTTTCACGTTTGACAACGCACAACTTTGACTGTAATTATATTTAATTACGTGTTAGTAAACATTATAAAAATTTGATATTTTGGAAATTCACATTGATAGGAATTTAATAACATTTTATACGTAATAATTTGATTAAGTATATTAGTAAAAAATCGTGATCAAAGTAAGGTCTGTAAATAGTGCAAAAATCACAATGTTGCAAGAATTAAAGAATGAAGGAAATACAATATTTCATTTTATTATACTCAAATCTCAATTTAATCGCAACTTTTTTTCAACTACTTTATTAACAATTATGTCAAACCAATAAGACAATTGTTGCTCTAGAGATAAACATTTTAAAGATGAAATCAATCAAACTCATCGGCCACTAACCACACAAAAACATGCATAAAGATAGATTTAGTAGTTTGGCAACAAAATCAATTCAAAATTAATCATTCATGATTATTTTGGTTGTTCATATAATTTTGTTCTTCATAAAAATAAAATAAAAATATTGGAAAGTAAAGAAATTTTTGCATATGTGCTTTTACAAATCGTGTCCATCATTTCCAATTGAATGAAAGGTTCACTATTGTTTTATTTAAGAATATGATCAAATAAAAAAAATGGTTCATCAAAGTGTATGCGCTTCTTTGTTATAAAGCAACAGTCACCTCACGCAGTTTTCGACGTGATTTTCATCATGACATCTGATCCCATTTATTTTAGTGCAAGTAGAAGCCTTTGCGGCACTGGAATAATGTTGTTATTGATGTTTTTACAAATCCAGATTCACAAAGAATTGTTCTATAAATTTTCCAAATATATATATCGTGCAGATTGCTATTTCAGATCTACTACATTTTTTATCTTATTATGTTTGATATTATATTTAAAATTGTTTTGATAACTAAAAAACACATTACCATGATTTGGCCTTTCCGGTGGCAGAATCAGCCACTTCCGGTGCAAATTTGGGAGCCGTTGACGAAGCGAATTGACGCCTCGGGGCGGCGGTTGCGTTGATCAGAGATCTCCAGCGCTTCTATCCCAATGCAGAAATGCATATCATCAATTAAATACTCGAAAATTTATCAGAAATAAAATTATTCGTCCTCAATAAAGTAATATGACTTGACTAACCGTTGCTGCAAAGGCCATATTTTGGATGCGCAAAGAAAAAATCAGTTTCAGAGATTATAATTCACCGATTATTGTTTATTTATTTATAAGGTGAAGGAGAATGTTTGAATATTTACAGGGAAGTTGGACAAAAACATGGTCTTAAGGACACGTAATGTAGCAAATTTATGGCTTTAAAACTCATATCCAATATATGAGGCACTGCATTTTGTCGAGAAGAGAGGTTTCCCAACTGATTCTCTCAACATTTCGCCTAAATATATGGTGGATTTTATCCACAGTTTTTTACCCATTTTGGCTCAATTAAAATCTATGTCTATAGGAAGATATCTATTTATCCTTATTAGGTGATGTATTTGTGTAACTCACAGTTTCTTTTGTAGGTTGAATAAACACTTCTAAATGGATAAAATGATTGATTTGAATTGAGTTTCAGATTGTGTTGTCAAACAAGTTTAATAGACATCAACATGAAAAGAGTTAGGTGTAAGTGCCTAACATGACCGCTCTCATAACGTAAATCTGAACCAGACATTTCGAAAAACCAGACCGGATTTGAACTCAATGTACGTACCAACTCCTGTTTGGACTCATGTAAACGCTTCAGACCGAGGGTAAAAAACCAGCAATCACGTAGTGGTGCAGTTTGGAACCGGGACCGAATCGACCCCTTAAATAATGTGGTTAATTGTTTTAGGAATTCAAACTTATTTGATCGAGTTTGTATTTGCAATAGATGAAGTTCATAGCATCATGAAGGTAGTCATCACAAATTGTAGAAAGTCCTCATCCTTCTGCCTTAAGAGCACCAGGTCATTGTGATCAATCATTTCCCCTCCCCTCCCCTTTCGGGTCAGGTATAAGGAATTTCGGGACGAGAGCTTTCGTTCATTGTGACATGGGATAAAGTTTGGAAGTTATCGTTTGACCTTTTCCAAAACATGAAAGTAAATTCCATGAAACTTGAAAATATGGAAGACATTAAACTCAGAGTAGAGAAGATGATTTGACCGAGCATCATTGAGGCAGAAGACATTTGATAGGTATCATTTTATGATTGATATACATGTAAAGCAAATTTTAACATTTTGAATATCATAATTTTCTTGTGACCTCCCTCACTCGTCGCAAATTGAATAAATTTTGATTCAGACAAAAATCAGACAAGACCAAAATTTCAATACAAATAAGTTTGCTATATGACACTGAACAATGAAATTTAAATTTATTGATCGTTATCGAGTAAAGGGAGCTGGATCACTATGTACATCAATAGCCAAGATATAACTCATTGTATACTTCTGTCAGTTCTATCTATCAACACAAATACACTTTAACAAAGACACATATCTACCATCCAAAATACCTATACACCAACTCCTAACAAAAATTTATCAGGCCAAGCTCTACAGATTAGCACAGAAGTGAGGTGCTGATATTTGGCAATGAACTACCAATGTTGCCCTGTACCAGTCAACCCATATGGTAACTCTGCAGGAACGGGGTGATGCCCGCCGCCCCAGTTCAATCATTAACAATTGAAACGAGGGCAGACAGACAGGACAATCATAAGAATTAAGAGGGCAAGAATACCCGCCACAACCAATTTTATCTTCATATTCTCAAACCACATTTTCCTCTTCATCTTCGTTCCTTGCTTTCGGAAATCCTGCGCCTGGTAACATAAATAGGTACACAGTATCACTCTCCATGATTTATTATCCTCACAAAATTAATAATCTTTAACTTTTGTTAGCGCGTGATTAGTCTATACAGCTTAAGTAAATAATAAATTTCCACTTAATTAATAAATTTGTCTATAACAACTTTTCCACTTATGTATACTATTTCCAGTACAAAACTTCACGTGGATGATGAGTTTTATGTTAAGCTTTTTACAGAAAATTGTACCTCCTGGTGAAAAAATCCTCAATATGGACAAACTTATTTATTACAAAGCATGATCTGCTCATAAGTGAAATTGCAAGACTAATAATAGACAAACAAAATTTACTTTACTGAACCATCAAGAATCCCAAGAATTAATAAGGTATAGTTTCTAAATTCTGTGTCCATCAAGATTGTGAGACTGAACCATCAAAATTTAATATGCATTTTGGGATCCATTCATGTCGAGGCTGCACGGCAGCATGAAAACTAACCTGTGACCTTAGGTTGTCAGTTTTATCTACCAAAAGCTCAATCTTCTCACCACGGTCCAGAACCTGAGAACCATATAAAATATATTAGACACAAGGATGTATAAAAGTACCTATTGATATATATCATGTTCTGTAAAAGCTGAAAAAGTAACCCGAGTGACAGGATTAATTCCCTAAATATGAGTAAATTGACTAAAGTGCAGTAGCATGTTTTATAGGAGTAATAAAGCAGTGCACTGATAACTCTTCCTTACAACATTTATTTTTATAATACTACTACATACAGAATAATAAGAAAATTACACTTAAACTAAAGCTGCCACCGCTAACCTCTAGCTCATGTTCCAACACCACACCACCATTCCACCAACCCTTTATATCATTATTAAATCCTAAACTCTAAATGCTAAACCTCAAACACTAAACACTAAACCTTTAAACACTTAACTAAATCACCAAACCCATAAATAAACTTTTTAGATTATAGGTAAAAAGATGAGCAGAGCATTTATTTTGAGAAAAAAAATTGTTGTCCTACTGCTATATTTTGCCTATGCTTTATTTTTACACAGGGTAGTTTCTTGTCAAGTCATGAGAAGGTTTCATTACCTTTTCAATGTTCCCCATCATCACTCCTTTTACTTCATTGACCTGAGCCTTAACCTTGGCAATTTTGTTCATTTCTTCTGGATGTTCAGCACAGTACCTCATGTGTTCTTTCAGTTTTGGACTGCAGTAGAAAGTAGATAAGTGAGATTCAAAAGGGAGTAGAGTGAAAGAAAGACATGTCATTTTGTGAGAAGCGAAATAAACAGAAACTACCCAAATTCCCTTTTCAGGCCATTGGCACCTGCACTGACACCTTTCCCTTTACCATATTTCTGGTAAAATTCATCCTTTACCCGCTCCAAGAAGGCAATAGGAATTTGCCTTCCGGCAGATTCAACAGCAACAACACAGTAGGCTGCATCACAACATTGGAAAACAAAACAGAAAAATGGAAGAAACTCAGAAATCCTGAGTTAATAACATTGAGCTAGCTATATGTAGTCAATTAGTCAAAGATGTTCACACTGTAAATATTGGAGAACATGATGAATATTCTTGACCATTTCTAAATTGAAATCTCAGAACAAAAGAATTGTGCAACACACACGTATACACTAATATGTATCTAATCAGTCCAAAATTAGTAATGAATTTATAATTAAGAACTTTGGACGCATAATATACACCGGTACACGATTACAAATGTATAATCATAAAAATTTAATGAATTTTAGCATAATATTTTAATATGTAGTGTTTGCAATTCAAATGTACTTTAACTGTCTTATGGTTAATTCCAAAGCAAAGTAATTCTACTTTATATACGTACTATATATCACGATCAGAGGCGGAGGTAGGGGCGACTTCGGCCCTGGCCCATCCCAAATTATTAGTGTAAAAAATTGTATCCCCTATGCCCGGGCTACGCTCTTGATCACGATGATTATATAGTCGAATAAACATAAGTCCCCTTTCAACTCCGTATTATCATCAATTCATCATCAGCATTACAATACATAAATTTCGAATTCACATAACTGACATAAGTATTAATCTGAGGGCAAAGCGAAACATGATTAAGATATATACATAATTCCATAAGCATTATTATTATTATTAAGCATGTATCATCCAATCAATTCAGGCCGAATAAGCTTCAACGCTTAATTCTAACATAAAACAGAGGAAGATCAGATGAGGATTGAGGAAGACTCACTGAACCCGTTCTCCACCTGGTAGTTGAAGGTGTGTCCGTCGCAATTGTAGGTAAACCGGTTGCTGGAAGCGGGGAGTTTCTGGAGGCATTGGGCGGCGACGCCGGTGAAATTTCCGGTGAACTCTGTGTAGTCCGCCAGAATTACCGTCCCCCGAGCCACGAAGCTGTAGATCAGAGTCTGCTGCCCCATAATTTCCTACTTTTTTTAGCGAACGTTTGAGAACGAAACTGAAAACCCTAGAATTTTGACCCAAAAGAATAAAAAACAAAAAATAAAGAGAAGAAAGTGATGAAAATGGAGAGAAGGGAGAGCGAAACGGAGAGAAACGAGGAGAGTTTGTGCACAAAAATGTGTCGTTGGCCATGCATGCTGACTGGCGCGCCAAAATCAAAAGCCGTATGTGTAGCTGAGGATGTTTTTGACAGGAATGATCATGTTAGATCACACCTAAATGAATCAAATTTGACTATATTAGATTATAGTCTCTATCAAAATTTGACACTTAGCAAAGTACACGTAACAGATGGTCTATTGGATTACTGAACTTGAACAAACCAGACTAAATAAAATTAAACATAAACAGAAAAATTCAACAAGTAGTTTTAAGGAATTGCCGTCATTCAATTTTTTAGTGAAAGTCGCACTTACGGGTGCAAATGAGCCGAGCCGAGCCGAGCCGAACCCGAATCTGTGTAGGCTCGAGCTCGAAATATATTGTCTTGGCTCGGGCTCAAGCTCGGCTCAAACGAGCTTAAAAAATCGAGCCTCGAGCTTGACTTGCAAATATATAGTTGGCTCGATTCGACTCGATTCGGCTCGATAGGCTCGACATATTTGGTTCGTCAACTCAAAAGTTACAAGTTCGATTAGCTCGAAAGTTCGGGTTTGAATATTCGGCTCGATAGGCTCGACATATATGTATGTGTATATATATATATAAATCTTATACATTATACAAGTATATAATAATCTATGTTATATATTAATTTATATTGTATATTACTATTATGTATTAATATTGTTGAGGTTTTGTCCCGTAGATCCGGAAGCCCAACATAACTTTCGGATATTAAGGACGATCAATTCCGTATAAAAGTAAATAAATATATAAAAGTGTATGAACTAGCTATTTTTACGTGTAAACCCGGAAAGGGAGAAAACCACGGGACTTTTTAGGGTAACGTCCAAGCCCGCTCTTTCTCATTAATAATATGCTCTCCTCACAAATTACATAATACAAATATCTTCTCTCCATTAATGAAGTTTTCTAAGCTCTAAGGAAAAGAAGAAGCCTGGGGAAGAAGAGCCAAAGAACCAAAATCCCATCCCCAAAATGGAAGCCCTCCTTCCTATTTATAGAAGTGGGAGAAAGCTTTTTCTATTCTAATGGGCCAATAGGTCTAATGGGCCTTAATGGGCCGAAACCACCCCAAGTAGGCCGGGTGGGTCTAAATGGCTTTAAATGGGCCCGATGGGACTAAATGGATCTCGCCAACTGGGCTCCATACCGGGTGATGTCTTGGGCCTCTGTACAGTAACGGATCGGGATAATATTCCCCAACAAATATAAATATACACACATATAAAACTAGGCTCGCGAGCCTTAAAAATTAAAATAGTAAGCTCATTTCTGGCTTGACTGCTTAATGAGCTGACTCGAGCTCAAGTTTGACCGATCCCGATTCGAGTTTTGACTGAGCGGCTCACGAGCGGCTCGGCTCATTTGCACCCCTAGTCGCACTAAAATAGTAAGTGATGAAAATGATATCACAATACTCAATTTGAGTACATAAGAGAGTAGATACGATCCTTCAACTTTTTCTTGAATTTCAATCTAATTAAAAATATTGTACTCGTAATTGATTATTTGGTTTAGATGACCAAAAGATTCATATTACAACCTTAGCTAACTTTTCATCCGGTACCAGTACTCCACAAGTGTGCATTGAACATACCATCCTACATAGTATAATACACCTATTTTTTTTGGGGGGGGGGCTGCTTTTCTACACTTTTTTATAAACCTCTTATTTTATTAATTTAAGAAGACCAATATTATCTGTATATACGATAATTTGATCATGTAAATGCGTATGCAAACTCAAAATGCCATACCCAGAAAACGATTCTAGCTTCTTTTTTATTCTCCAACTTTAGCATGTGTATTTAACAGTTCAACAAAACTCAGGAAGCTAGTAATGTGTATTGCACTTCCTTTTCTTCTTTTTTCTCCAGTGTGTTTCCACTATTACTTCTCATAGGTTAAACGTCTGCTTTATGTTTATATTTTGGAATTACTATCTCATTTTTAATCAAAATAGCACCACTTTTTTATGGAATCACACCGTGAGTTCGGAAAACAAAATCAGAAAATTGAATTCTCTGATTCGATGTTTCATTTTAGATCAAAACTGAAATAAACTTACTAAAAAAAAGAAAAAAGAAATTATCTTAAATAAGCCTAAATCTAATGCACAAATAGGAGTTGTTTACTCCTATTTGTTACTCCTAATACAATTAATACATATAATTAATTACCCCTAATTCCTTTCATAGTGGAGTCACGCCATACCGAATGAACCCCACAAAACAAAGTCAGCAATGTCATTGAAAGATAAATCAATGGTCATCGATGGTATTCGCATTTTTGGTTCTTTATTGGGCTCTCAATTTTTATCACATCCTACGGCCCTTCACGCTTGTCTTTCCTTCCCTAACCTCTCCAGCTCCCAAAAAGGACAAGGTAACTACTTATCCAAACATCATTTCACTTTTACTATTACTTCACAGATTTCAGCCTAGGGTGAACTCAGACCGGATAAACTGGACCAGAACCGGCCCACTACAGTAACAAATCGGTCTGACCCAGCCCAATCCGGCCAGTTCCAGACCTCAAGAATCACAAAAAAAAACCCTGTCAAGCCCGGCCTGGATCCATGCCTATTTCACCCTTTGCTAGAGGTTCAGAGCCTCTGATAGAGGGGGAAATGTAGGTCTGGACTTATTATTGAGGGGCCAAAATTAAATACATAAACATATTTTCTACATATTGGAAATATTTATACATATATATAAAATAGAATTTCTTTCATGGGGACCGAGTTAGTGCAAAAAACTGGTCAAATGGATCTAGTGATAATAGGGGCAAGTCCCCAACCTGGTTACTATGCAGCTAGTGAAGCAGTGATTTATTGCAAATTAATTTAAAGTTGATCATTATTATTTCAAATTCCGTCCAAAGTTCGTTGGGCTAGTAAAATTAGAAATCAGATATCTCCCCACAGTTTGGATGCAATTTAGCACAGATCCGAAGAGAGATAATATTATTGGTACACAAAGTTGGAGTTTGAATACAATCATGAAAATGGCCAAGTATAACTTCTCTTTCTCCTGAGTCCTGACACTTATTGATGTTGTTCCTTTCTCTCACAAAATATCAAGGAAACCAAACCATCTTAAACAACCAGGGAAGTTCTACCGGGCATCCTTAGACAACAGACCATTGGTTTCAACTTTTCGGGCATTTGTGAGCTCATCACAAGCATCACCTCTCTCAAACACAGCAGCTGCACCCATTCCGGTGCCTGTTCAACAACATTGACATACAGTTAAAAACGCGCACTCTGAAAACAAAAATCATCTCACCAAAAAATAAAATGATTAATGTTACTGCTCCAATTTCTTTTCACATTCATGCCGCCCTCATAAAAGTTAAAAGTACATTTTTCAAAGAAAAAGTCATCGAGTTATGGAGGAATAGAATGTACCTATGCACATGGAAACTACACCATAGCGGCAATCTTTGCCACGGCGCTTCATCTCATGCAGCAAAGTTGCAACACAACGAGCTCCTATACAATGTGAATACCAAAACCCCGCAAAACAAAGTCAAGCAGTGTCATTGAAAGATAAATCAATGGTCATCTTTAGTGACCCTGCACAACTAATACCAGAAATGGAGCATATTTAGGAACAAACATACTTATCATATTTACAAGTTAAAATGAAAACAGTTTGCGTACAAATATATCCTAAATAGAAAAAAAAATGATGCACCAAATTGGGCAGTTATACACCGCAATAACAAGATCATCAACTCTATACATTTAAGTCAAAACTTCATAATATACCTGTTGCCCCCAAAGGATGACCAATAGCCAAGGCACCACCATTTACATTGATCTTTTCTGGATCAAGCCCCAGCTTTCTTTGGCAGTACACATACTGTGACGCAAATGCCTGCACAAGATAACATGACAATCACTTTAAAACATAAAGTAACAAACACTATGAATGAGATGGGAAGACAACATAACATATATTTAACTCACTTCATTGATCTCAAAAAGATCAATATCATCAAGTTGAAGTCCAGCAGATTTGACCGCAGCAGGAATTGCAACAGCTGGACCAATGCCCATTATAGCAGGATCTACACCAACAGCAGCAAAAGTCCTACAATACGAAAGGAGTCAAGGACACACATATATGACTTGATGATGAAAATTTAATTGGAGGCACAAACATAGGAAACACAAAATCATATAAATATAGGTTTAGATGGCCAAAAAATGGAAAATGGTTGGTGCCATATGGTAGACATCATTAGATGTACATCCCAGGAAGGATTTGAATGAAATAAACCTGAATACACCAAGGACTGGAAATCCTTTCTTCATTGCAAGACTTCTTTTCATGAGTAGTACAGCGCCAGCCCCATCACTAACTTGGCTAGAGTTTCCTATAATTTGACAGAAGAAAAGAATCAATATCACATTTTCGAACATGATGTATTACAGAAAATTTCCATCTTATTACCAGCAGTGGTAGAGCCATCTTTCTTGAACACTGGTTTCAACTTTGCCAAGTCGCTGATACTGGCATTTGGCCGAAACCCGTCATCAACAGAAATTGTAACAGCAGTCTCATCTCCAGTTTTTGGGTCAACGATCTATATAAGAAAAACACAATTTGTTCAAAAGCAAGAAAAGGAAGCAAATAATATTTCTTCACAGTGAATATCACCCTTTAGGCCCCTCATTCTTTTGTGTATAACTTGATATGATCCTGCTTTCATAATTTGAGAATCTGGTTCCTCAGGTCACTCATGTTTGGTGAAGTACAAAATAAGTGTTAATTCTAAACCTTTTCCCAAGAGGGCATTCAACAAACAGGTCACATAAGGGACCAAATCTATCCAACTTAAAGTGCTAAGACAATTGCGAAATTTTTACTTTGCAAACAAACTAAAAGGATCACAAATGGGAAACAATTGAAAGGCCAAAAGTGAAATTTCCTAATTAATATTGAAACTGTAAAAACAAATTGAACAGAAATATTTTGAAAGAGAGCAACCACAACACACAACACATGACGAAATAATTCAGAAACCAAATTTTCTAACTTGGTTATTAAAATAACTGCAAATTGCTTTAAGCAACCGAACATAGACTACCTTTGTAGACACAGGAATAATTTCATCTTTAAACTTCCCAGAGGCAGTAGCTGCAGCAGCCTTCTTATGTGACTCGACCTACACAGAGCAAAAAAGGGAACACATAAATTTTATTCTAATTGATAATTGATCATGTCAAGTAATGAAAACGTTAATGGATACTTACAGCTGCTTGGTCTTGTTCCTGCCTTGTCACACCAAAGCGATGTGCTACATTTTCAGAAGTAATTCCCATAGGAAGAAGACAATTTTGTGCTTGTTGAAATGTCCTAACCTGTTCAGAAGTGTACGAAGATCAGCACCATCGCACCACAATGTATACTTTTCAAAAGGAACCAGTCACAGAATATGCATGAAAAAGGAAACATACTCGAGGATTGACTGAGGCATCCCACGACATGGAGTCTACCGTCATGGACTCCAAGCCAGCACCAATACCTAATTAGAAAATGAAATTTACATATTGGATATTGACCATGATTTTGTGAGTTTAGCCGAGATTAGCAATTATAAAAGAGGACCTACCGATGTCATAAAATCCGGCTTTAATGGCTGCAGCAACATCTGCAACGGCTTGGAGACCAGACGAACATTGTCTGTTCACAGTTCTAATTGGAACAGTTTCTGTGCAGATCCGATAGCATATCAACATATATTTATTTCCACCAACAACAAAGTTCTGCAAAGATCAACAGTGTACACACATACCAGGAAATCCTGCATAGAATGCAGCCATCCTGCATTCACTTGCTCTTATGGAGCCTGGTGCCAAGACAGTACCCACAACTATATCCCCAACTTCACTTGGGTTCAAATTAGTCTTTTCAATCAGCGCCTATAAAGAGTTGCTTACAATAAAAGAGAACAGGTAACTTGTTATGATAACAAGGTTCAGTAGTACACATCAACGGGAACAAACCTTTAAAACAGTCGCAAGTAAATCATCAGGGTATGTATCTTTGAAGCCACCCCTCTTAGATTTGCAAAGAGGAGTCCTATATGCACTGCAGAAATCCAAGATTTACAATATGAATAATAAATTAGGGCTAGGAAATCACATGATAAAAAAAAATGTGTGGTGGAAGCACCAATAAATCAATTAGAAATTACTCTCTGAATATTGAGTGAAATTAAATCAAAGAGTATATCCAAGAAACAAACACTTACGCAACTATGACTATATCATCTCCGTAAACAGAAGTCCTTGCATATGCAGCACTGTCCCCCGCAGCACAAATAGATGCCTGGTTGTTTAATACAAAAAAGGTTTGTAATTGTAGATAAAACATCATATTTGTTTCTGATATTTGCTCTTCCTAAAACTGCTATGCCCACAGTGTGTCTATACTCAAATGCAAACAAGAAATCACAACAGTCATACGAAAATTGATGAAATCCCATTTATTGTCAAAAAACCTGTGGCATGTGTTATGTCACCTCCGAAATAAAACTGCACCATTTGGAATACGTGCCCATCAGCAAGCAGATGGTAAGTTACTAAGTTTCGGAGTTTTGAAATCTTTACTCAAATGAACTAATGCCTCAATAAAAATTCATGTAATTTCCTGCCACTATCGTATTCACAAGGGTTCCACTAACTTTATGCCGACTCACAACATCAAAATAACAAAAAAGCTTGGTGTACACATTTTTGTGTACACCAAGCACAACTTTCAAAATAATTATACAAAACATTGTAAAGAGTGATATATTGACACACAGTATACAGGGAGTACCAACAACATTGTATAACTACACATGCCTAGACTTATCCCAATATTATTTTTTAGTCGTTAATAATATTCCCGAATACATGTGACGTGTTTTCTTCTTAGGAGGATATGTGAATTGTGAGCTAAAAATCTAAAATATATATCGTAGTGAACCCGGCAATTAAGCATACAGCTAAACATGAACTTTTAGTAAGAAACGGTAATCACGTCCATGATTGAGACCCCAATTTTAGATTTTGTTCGGTAAAAAAAGACATGACAAGTCGGCACAAGCAGAGTAAATAGGCTATTTACAGATTAACAGACATCACAACCAGAAATGAGCATCTAGATCGAGTGATTGAAGGATTTAAGGCTGTATTGAGCTATGAACTATCATTTCTAAGCAAGAATCATCAACAGTAAGATCAGATACATAACGAGCAAAAGTAGAACTGAAATAAGCGAATACATAAGCGACCATCAAAGCCAGAGAAGTACATATAAAAGCTTGATCAATGATGATGCGATCCGAGGCAAACGAATCAAATACAGAAAACTGGTTTCAGAAAGATGAAGAAAAGGTGAAAATCAAGATCTCTATTGACTTATTGTGAGACCAACTCACCGAAATAGAAGAATCGACGCCTTCGGTTGAAGAAGCGGAGTGAACAGGGAGAAGGTGCTGAAGCAGAACCCTTTGTCTCTCAATTGCCTTCTCCATTTCTCTCTCTCTCTCTCTCTCTATATATGAAACCACAAGCTATTACTCTCTCTCAAACAAAAAACTACTCCGTCTACGCGATCTTATATGAAATATAAATACGTAGTATTATAGTAGTAGGATAGTAATGACTCTTGGCTGACCGTTAGCCAGGACGTTTCATTATCTGTATGCGTAATTGAGCTCGCCTTGAGATTTGCGAAGTAGATGACAAAAGAGAATGTGGGTATCAAGCATGGGCGATGCAGCCGATTTGAGATAAGAACTTGAACCGTGACGCGTGCGGCATCTTGGGGGAAGCGTATATCACTGATGAGCATGGAGTATTTCCTTTTGAGTATTAGGAGTCCAACAATGATCATCCGTGATATCTAATTCATATCTTTTAATTCGGTTTCTTATTATTTTTTCATTAATAAAAAAACCGTAAATTCAATATAATCAATTTCATATTAATTTCAATATGTGAATATAATTTACAATTCTGATCCATGCAGTAACATTATTTTGTAGTATGATACATTTGAAATGTAAAACATTTTAAAATGAGCATAAAGTAGTACCAAATGAGCATACATAACTTACGAAATGAGTATGAAAAAATCAAAAGTTCGTTTGTGCATGCTCATTCATTTTGGACGTTATACTTATTTGAGTTTAACATAAAATTCATTTCCAATGCGCTCAATATTAATTTGTGTGTGTTCATTTCTTTTAGGCGTGTACTCATTTGAGTTTAATATAAAACTCATTTGAGATCAAAAGCAGTAAGGATTCCTCAGCAACCAAGTAGACTCCTTTTGTCTCCGAAAATCACAAGTTCAAACAATAAAACAACGTAAGAAAAAGAAAAAAAAAGAGTGGAAAGAAAGACAGAGGAGGAGAGGTAACTACGTAGGAGCCGGAGCCGCTGCGTTTGTGCCGAAGGAGAAGGGGCGAGTGGTGAGAAACGACGACCAGCAGCGAGCTGAAGGAGATCAGAAAGGGATGAACATCGGCGATGGTTAGCTTGCTGCGAAATCAGATCGAAGAAGCAAGCTAAATGGGAGAAGTTTGGTATGAAGCTGTGAGCGAACGCAAAAGCCTGATGCAAAGGTCAGGTTGAAGAAGCACAACAACCAAGAAAAGCCCGTTTGTACCGTGCGCAAGGTACAGCCGGTTGTTCCGTGTATTTTACCGCATGTTGGGTATGGTAAGAAGAAAGAATGAAAATATGGTGTAAAAGATTTGTCTTGGACTAAATTGTTTATTTTTGCTCTTCAAACATAGTACAAAAATTTCAAACATATGACTAGTTTTATTTCAAACATAGTATAAAAATTTTGACTAACTTTTGTTTGGAGGTATTAGTCAAAGTGAGTCGTGCTCGAGATCGAGTTCTACTCAGATTAGGTTGTGCTTGATAAAGAACAATAGAGTTTGAGTTTGAGTTCAAGTCTACTCGAAAAGTGTATGGTTTGATTCGAGTTCAATTCAAGTTCTAATTATATTCGAGTTTTATCTATTCTAAAAATGATACTCGTATATTATTAAGCACATACATGTTTTTAAGCAAATATATGTTCAATCCACAATATTTTTTAAATGTAAAAACATTGTTTTAACTTCTCCCCCTAGTTGTCCTCTCGGACATTAAGACTCTTTGTGTTGTCCATGATTTATTTAAAGCTAAAATGAACTAATAACAGATCCAATGAGGAGCACCTGACCAGACCCGCCACACAGACTTGCCTTTTTAAGGGTCTTTCTGGTGGAACTTTTTTATGATTCTTTTTTAGAATGTTCCTCATCAAGCTTAGTTTACGCACACCACATTTCAGCTCAAAATTCAATCGGGAAAGCAGTTAAATAAATTCTTGAAACATACTGACTTTATATATGTACATAATGTGCAGTATGTTTCAAAAATTAATTTAACTGCCTTCCCGATTGAATTTTGAGCTGAAATTTGGTGTTCATACACTAGACTTGATGAGAAACATGCTCAAAACAATTCATCAAAAAAATCCACCGGAAAAGACCCTCAAACGGGCAAGTTCGCACATCACCCCTGTCAGGCGCGCTTGAGAGGATCTATTTTCAAGACGAACTTGTTATGCTTGGATCCATATTATGCATTATGCATATATGATTTAATGTCATATGTATGAATTTAAAAAATCAATATGAACTCATAATCGAATAACTTCCGAGCTTTTCGAGTCCAAGTTGTATATACTTTGAGCTTGACTTGACTTGGTTTGAATCGAGTTCGAACACGAGTCAAGTTTGAATTGAGTTGAGTAAAATGTGAATAAGAATCGAGTTGGTCTCGAGTAATTTACGGGTCAATTAGCTTGCTTGATTAACGCCCTAGATTGAATAAACATTCTGAAATGAATAAATTGAATAGTTTAAAGTATTTTTCAAATTGTGTTTAGGGCTGATCCTAATATTTATTGGGGCTGGGGCCATATAAAACAAAGGGCCCTAAGATACGTAGTATTACATTGCATTACTAAATTTCACCATGTAGTACAAAATTCTATAGACAAAGTTACGTATATTCAGAAAATAAACACAAACTTTTCTCTAACTCATCTGCTAGAGGTCCACTATTAGTTCTAATTTATAATGTTCTACACTCTTGCTTTGCATTTGCCATATTATAGCATTATTAATTTATTATCCATTAATCAATGATATTTCAGTATGGCAATGTAAGGTTATTTTATTCATCCATTTAGTATTTACGCATACAACATACGTACTACTACTTTTGATATTAATAGTGTATTTCTGGAAAAACGTATATTTATTGCGCATACCAATATTGGAAAATGATTTAACATTTAACCAACTGTTTTAGTTCAGATTGATATGATGTATGACCATCCATTTTTTAAGCTTATTACATTTTTTGTTTGGTTAGATTTTATTTCAAATTTGGTTTAGAATAATATGATTGCAACAAAATATTACGTGCAAATAATTTAATTTTGATTCAGATTAAAACATTTTTATCCGATTCGATTTCAATCCAGGGGTGTTTGAAACTGATTCTGCTTCTGCTTCTTTTTTAAAGCAAAAGCAGAATCAGAATCAGTTTTTAGAAGCTGGTCATCCGGCTTCTAAAAAAACTGATTCTAGGAGTAAATTAGAGCACCAGAATCACTTCTGCACTTTCACTCAAACACTCCAACTTCTTGCTTCTGCTCTCTGAAGGAGCAGAAACAGTTTTAAGAATCAGATCCAAACACCCCTCAGTATGAACACAAACAAATTACCCCATCCCTAGACCAGATTGACCGATTTCATAATGAGGTGTGAAACCAACCAAGAACCGAGGCCAGACTGATGGTAAACCCAGAAAGGCTAAGGTAAAGCACTGTGACGGTTCTGGTACAAATCCACAAAAACAAGCCAAAGAGTAATACAAATTACAAAGTACAGACCTATAAAATCCCAACAGTCAACTCAAGTCAATGCAAATCTCAAACAGAGTAAAATGCCAAAGGCAGTATGAGTAAGGATATCCAGTTCGCAGCATATACAGTCCCTACATTGCTATGAAAAAAAGCCAAAACAGTGGTAATCGTTTTTTCTTAACGATATGAATCTGGACGCTTTGGTTTGCTTTGAACAACAGACTCGATTTTATCCATAAAAGGTGCCAGCTTTGGAATGAGATCAATAGCCTTCATGTTCTCTTGGATCTGCATAAATAACATTGCATAATGTCATTAAGTAGATAAATAATGGAAAGCTTTAAAGTTTAAACGATGAACTTTGACTCTTAAAGAGCTATAAAAAAAGTCTTTTCCCCGAAATATTTCAAAGATGATACTCGAGGATAAAAATATAACTAAATGGTCACTATCAGCGCCACCAGTCACTACACCGGTCAAATATGGTTACTAACTTACTGCGCATAAACTGGTACAACAACACGATGAGAACCAGCTAATTATAGAAAAAACAAACTTGGATACAAGAATAATAGGAATAAACATGGCCCATTTATAACGAATCATAACTTTTAACACTGTCCTTATCTCACTGGTATGCCGCTCATTCCCAATCATTCTGATTGCATGAAACCTTAATGATTATGTAAACTTTCTTATGTATTACTACGTATTTTTTAATAATAGACATTGAAACTTGAAACAACCAAAATGAGCGACACACAATTAGTTATGGTATGTTTGGGAGTTGAGGGGGGGGTGATAGGAATGGGCCTATTATTAGAGATAATAATAAGTGGGCCTATTATTGTAGATAATAATAAGTGGGCTTTTACTATAGATAGTAGTTAATAAGCTAGCAGAAGGAGGCTGTCATTTGGTTGGACTTAGACTTCGGAGACTGGGCATCTCGAATCGTCCTAGGCACTGTATACGTTCTGTTCTTCTACGCAATTCAATAAACTCTTCTGATCTTGCTCTTGTGAATTTTCTATTGAATCTATTGTGTTGTGAGTGGATTTACCAGTGCTCTATCAGTTTTGAAGGTTAGTCATTGGAAGAGAAGGGGAGGGAAAGGGAGCGACACACTAAAATATATCTTGCTCTTGCACCGCCAAGTACTATGACTGGGCCACTTACCACACAGCCACCATGGGCTTCTCCACAAATGACTGGCGCGGACCATCTTCTGTCCTGGGGCAGTGGACCCTCAGGCTATACTCACGCCTCACCATTGCCTAGACCAAAATTCCCCATCTCACTCTGTAGACCACTCCCTGAACCCATTTTGGGCAACTCATCAAATCAATCCCCTTTTGACTAGTCAAATCATGTCATCTTCACTTGATCTGTATCAATGCACATAGTCTGTCTAATGCCAAGAGCCATTAACGTGTAAATGGCTACTTTTGAAAATAAAATATAGGGAAAAGTAGAGTAAAGTACTTCTGGTTTGGGCTGTTTTCAAATAGGGACATGAGGTTCATTTTTTCACAAAGTGGGGCATGTGCTTTCACTTTGAGAGTTTGAGGGTTTATGTCTAAACTCCACCAGAAAGAAGGTGACGTGTCACTTTTTTATTCATCCACATCGCCTTCTTTTTAACGGTGTTTAGACCCATGTGACTTCTGCACAACTTCTGAGCGAAAGTTTGTTGCTTTTAAATTAACTAGTCACAACAATTTGTTAATACCAAACAGGACCACATCAAACAACCACCTTTTATCTCATAGTTACAATCTTTTCCTTTAAAGATATTTTCAATTAATAAAAGCTAACAATTACTATAAAATCAAAAAAGGTCTTTTTTTAGTTAATTGTGCCAAATACACTTTCT